CAAAACACAACGCAAGCGTTGCTTCACTTCAAAACGTATAAAATTTCTTATGTGAATTTTTTGTCTAATCTAGATTGACTGAAAGTTCAAAGTAATTACCAATTTCAATCTAATATCTTTGGATCGATCTAGATTTTTGACACAGTTGCTTTTATATAGCTGCTCTCAAAAATAGCTTTAGAATCAAAAGTTAGAAATTTAGGTCCTAAATGGACGGAGGGGCATAAAGCCTCTCTCTTAGTGCATGGTTTTTTGTCTAGACTAAGGTTTAACTGCATGATATATCGACCTCATTCGGATGTCTGTCAGGGTCAAGATGATCACGATAACATTAGAACTCGGTACGTTGAAGTGAGAGAGTGGTCTTTTTAGTCACCTAGATGCAGACGCCAGTCAAGCTTAGGTAACCTAACCCATTTCAGCTTTATTGTTTAGTTAAGTATAAAGTAGCAATTTGTCAGTTCGCTTTTTTAATTTGGTTTTTTAAACATAGACAGAACAGACTAATGTTACTAAAATAAGGCAAGAAGTGGAGTAAACTTTGGAGTTTCTAACTATTTACATGTCTGCTAATGATCAGAGACTTTAAATGTTTATTTTTTACTTTAATCAATGTTCTGTATAACGTATCGTATATGTACCAATTATACTTATTTTAATACTTTCAAAGAGTAAGGAGGAGTTCCTTAGTCGATCTTCTCCATTCGAATCTACATTTTGGAATGAGCTTTATTGACGGACAATACTGACTTTTAATTGACAGTCAGTCTATTATTTATTTCTTTATGAGCATTACTTGAAAACCATCGAAAGTTATTCGATCAACTTCGAGCACTGTCAAGAGTTACTCGAAAACTATCGAGCGTCCTCGACATCTTTCGAGCGTCACTCGATCACTTTCGAGAGTTACATGATCTGTCCGAGTTACTCGACTTGATGTTATGACGTTTGATTTATTGACGTTTCAAACGTTTATGGTTCAATTGAAATTAATGCTTTGACTTTGATAAAATTTTCTTAAAGTCCAACAAAGGTTTTCGTCGAGTCCTCATATAATAGTCGAATAGGGTAGTTGCCAGAAAATTAAAAATCTAATTAGATAATGAAAAAATTATGACACGATTTTTTTAAAGTGCTACAAAATGTAGCACGTTGTGACGCCACACGACAAATTAATTTACCGTCGAAAGTACTTAAGTTAATTTTTAATTTGTGAGGAAAGATTTTATCTTTTATTTGTGTCTCAATGTTTTAAATTAATCTACAAGACAGACATTAAAACAAAATTTAGGACTACCTAAATATAATTATAACATGAATCATTAACTTTCATATTCCTACAAAGACAGTCTAATTAAATCAATCAACAAGACGCAAATACAGTCAAATGATAAACAACTGATATATTATCTAATTGGCTATAACTGACTTGTTATTGCGACTAACCAGCCTCCCGTAACTTATATGCACTGATTGATTAATTGACCCACTTCAAGTACTATGCTATGAATCTATGATTCACTATTGAGAAATTGCAGAGGGTCTAATCATTTGTAAGTGTATGCAAGATGCATGCAAATTGTGTTTAATTTTCATTGGCATATGAGATCATGATTTCATGAAGATCGGTGGACTTGTTAGTAGCTGCGTTTATTGGAAGTATTGTTTATTATGTTAGTATGGTGTAATAATCTGTGACTATGAAATCTGATCTGATCCTGATAAAATGCCAATTGCCAATCAATACAACAACCATTTACCTACCACATTGCTTCCAATTTCGCATGAAGCAATAAAGTATTATTTAATTATTTAACTTCATACACTATCTCCTTTTTAACATGCATAAAATAATTATATATTAGGAAATTTACCCAAAGATAAACATAAAAATATATTTGCATATTATGTATCTCGCTCACGTATTTGAATGACTGTGAAACAGTCAACAGTCATAAAATTAAATGTTTACAACATTACCTATCAATACACTCAAATCAAGTAAAAAATAAAATAAAGTAGTGTTAACATCGAGAAACGGCTAATTTAATTTATATTTTACAATAAGCAGCACAAAATTCACAATTAGTTTCACTTTAAATGTCAATAGATAGTTAAATAGAACTAAAATGAAATGTGACTGTGAGACTAGCCACATTATTATCAATCAAGCAGTTCAGAAGGTCAAGGTCATATCGATGATTCATAAAGACAACAATAATAGCTATGATTAGATGATTAGATGAATTACATTATATGTGATTATACAACATGGAAAATCCACCAAGACTGTCGATGGACCAGCACGGACTAAATGATAACCTATTCGGTTATTCAATATCTACAGCATGTAGTGTACAAAACATGTCAAGGAGACTATACAACGGGTTTTGAATACTAAAACATGTGTGAACAAAATTGCCTGTTGGGTAACCGGTGACGCAGTAACATATTTTATGTATGAGCTAGTCCGTAATCACACTTACACGGTGAACATTTTGCTTGGATTTGTTGAGAATGTAAATGAGTCATGGTGTCGTTAAAATAAATAGACGCTTAGGTGACTATTGTGGACTAATTCTTAAATAAATTATTTTAGCCAAAGCAAACAGATTTGTTTTAAAATATTTCTATGGATGACTTTTCTTCAACTCAAAGAATCATTAGGAACTAGCATGATAGATTTATATTTTTTACAAAATCATAAGAAAGTCACCCTTATTTTGGGATGACAAGTAACTAAAACATTATGTACCTTTGGCCCTGCTGGTACTCTTTATTAAAACATATATATATTTTTTATTTGGTCTTTGAAACAACAAAATTTACTTTATATTGCTATTCACAAGACAGTATTATAACTATTAATTGATACACTCAATAACATGGATCTAATAGAGAAAAACAAGTTAGTGATTCATATATTACATAGAATGATATAGGTAAGTTAGAAACAATATTATCATTAGTTGAGCGTCATTAACGCCAATATTATTTAAAAATGATAAATAAATGATATTTTATGATTATGATTCATCAACTTAACGACACAATCAGTACATTCTTTCAATATGATTATATTAACTGTGTAAATAATAAAAAAGCAAGCAATTTATAGGTTTATCATTGCAAAACCCAAAAAGAAATTACAATTAAAAGAATGCATGTAGTGTGAATATACTGAAAACATGCACAATTGTTGAATAACAATAAGTGCATGTTTTTGACCTCCAACACATTTAGAAGCAGATTATAAAAAAACCATTAACTATGTATTTTTCTAGCATTAAATTGTCATAGACTGTTTGGAGATGTTAAAGTTAACTTGGTTATCAAAGTCCAGAACTACATGCACAATGTTAATAGAAAAGGAACTCTACAATCATACACATATAATTCTTAATAACACAATACTAATTAACAAGTTATGAGTACATAGAACTGTTTTAGCATTACCCTAAGGATGCTTGTCTGATGGTTCAATAGTTATTAATTTGCATTGTATACTTAGCATGCAACGAACTGACATTGTCTGCATAAATAAGCTGTCGGCCTGCACTGAAGTTGTTTTAATTGTTTATGTAACATTTTCTTAGAAGTATTTTAATTATTGTGTATCCCTTAGATATGAACACAATGATAGGTTGGTGGGTATCCTTAGAGGAAGAGAGAAAATATAATTTAAACTGTCAAACACCAAGCGGTCACCGGTGACCGCAACCTATTGTTCTTTAATTGTGTCTATAAAACCGGTATTCGACGAGTTAAGAAAACTTTTAAAGAGATTGCATTAATATACAAATCCTAATTAGTTTTCAGAAGTGGTCCATGATGTTCAGAACATGAATGATTATGGTACAGATAGTAACAAAGATTTTGTGCTCTTTACAACTGGTAGAATGGTACACATAATTGTTTACAATATTATCTAAAGAAAACCTTAAGAATTTCTTATCTATAGTATTCTTGTTCTTTCAAACAAGTTTCTTACAAGAATGTGAGATACACACAGAATTAATAATATTACACAAATAACGAATAACATAAACGGTATGCATTCTATGACCAGGTATGTACATATGTATTGAATAAATATAATCCAAGATATTGTGCAATATTGATTACATTCCTACTCTAGTAGATTACAAAAAGTTTACATATTTATTGGCTGTATGTGTGTTTATCAAAGCAATGTTAAATATTCTTTGGTAATAATCAAGTGGCCAGTATCAGGGATAGATAAAAAGAAAAAAGTATTGAAGGCTTTTTGCAATCATTAATTTTTATGGATACAAGAATCCCTCCAATAAATTTTCAGATATTATTAAATTTTTATACCGGTTATCATATTGTATGTCTTCAATGCATATTGGCATAAATAGTGGCCTTTATTGGATTAAGTTTAGACTACTTCCTTAATTACAAATAGCTAAGTTTAATAGAACAAACAACATAAGATCCTAATAAGGTTTTCCTTATGTCTGCCATTAACTAATGGGATAATTAATAATGGGTAATAAACACTTCAATTAATTTTATTTCATTAGTGATAACTGAGAATATGCCAATAATATAGGTATCTACATAATATGATATGATCTCATGAAATCAATAAAAGTAATAAATGTTGATTACAACATGCAATGTCTACATGACAATATTACACCCAGAGCCGCAAAAATCGAAGATAAATAACTGGATTCGCAGGACAGAGTAATAACAGTGTATTAAACATTTTACGGCGATTCGATACGACCTTAGCGATGTCTTTTTGTAACGAGAATATGAACTACGAGGTGGTTTAAGCAAACAAGGCGGACCACACGCGGCCTCGGAAACCACACGTTAAAAACGCGAACGCTAGCATTCCTTATACGGCAAACTGTACATCAAATATTGCAAAACATACATTTAACCGATGCCCCAAATGACACGCCGTACAAAACGCCGACAAATCAATTCCGATCAATTAATTTCTGAATTAAAACCAACAAACTTACCTGCTCAAACTGCTCCCTGATCTCAGTCCTCTCCTCGTCGGTCAATTTTGAATTATCTGCCATCGTCACACAAATAAAATCACAAAAACAAGGATCACATCAACAATATACCGAGTGTTTGTAAAACGCGTTTTTCCACAGTTCACTTATGTACTACCGATGATTGTATAAAAATAAAAAAGTAATATATAAATCACAGCACTCGAAAACTAATGTAAACGAATGAAGCGCACTTTAAAATTACTATTATACCGTACGGTCCCGCAACACGATATCATGAAGCGAGTGCAAATTATAAATACGTCAAGAAAAGTCAACCGATGAACCCACCGACCACTGCGCAGCGGCTGTCTAGTGAGAGAGAAATCAATTCTATATAGTCTATGGATATCGATGAAAACAAAAAAGTTTGTTAGTATTAGACAAAATTAACAGTAGAAAATTGGACATAGAAAAAATACCCTATTACCTATAATGATAAAAATAAGGTAAATTAAAACGGCCAGCTTAAACTAGATATGAAAATAAGTTAGTTACAAAAACCAAAACAAATGAAACTCGCAATTTCTGTTCATCTCACATTTATGATACAGTTACTTTGTTTCTTTTATAAGAATTTATGTATTCGTTCATTAAGTATAAAAATGTATAATAAATAACTAAATAAATGAGTTGAACATGACAAGCCTTATAATTTTCATTCAACAAGCCTGGTAATTTTCTGTAACAAAAAACATGACATTATTTCAATTTTCTTTTATATTATCAAACACAGTAAAGTATGTAATATGTTAGTTATTAGCGTCATTTACAAGCATTCAAAAAAAAAATACTGTTTCAGCACAAAAAATTCCAATACTCTAAAAAAATCGATAATAGCATAGTATCGATATATCACATCACTAAAGTTGGCGTTGCTATTTCATCCAAAGTTGCCAGATATAGAACGTTGCAGATAAGATGAAAAAACCAGTTTAAAATTTTAATCGAAATAATTCTAATTACTGTAACAATAACTGTACGTAATAATAATTTATTCTCAAGCCACGTTACAAAAATCAATAGACAAAATATTAATTAATATTTACGAATCTTAAAAGACTCGTTATCAAGTAGAAAAATAAACCAAAATGTTGAGACCGCTGCCATCTATTGATGAATTATTTAAGCAATAATGAACTTCTATGTTTTACTATTGAACACGAGATGGCACTGTAACCATTTTTCCAGAAAATTCTATTAGTAAATTTCATTCGCTAACCACGTCGGGAAACTTCTAGTAAGTTAAGTCAGAGGTTCCCAACTAATGGGTCGCACATATTTTAGTTTCAGCACACTACTGCAAACAAATGTGGTATATTGTTTTATATTAAAAAAAATATTAAAATGCTTAGCGTTTATTAGAAGAAATGCTTACAATGTATTAGTTATTAGTCAATGGCCTAATTAGCTATCTATTATCCGGAACTATTATGGCTGAAATTAATTAGGTACTGACCTCAATCCAAAGTCTATGATTTGAGGTAGGTTTTTCTAACTATGTAGTTTCTATCAAAAACAGATTACCAGAGATTTTAGATTAAGATCGGTTTTTATTTTAGCTGTAAAACTACATAGACATGGCAGCTGTAATTTACTACGTTATCTACTTCTGTTTATTTTGAGAGCGGACGGATTAAGGCTAGTAATTTTTAATTATAAAATAAGAAAAGTTGATAATATAATGATATACCTACGTTTAAAAAAAACATCGGCAACTATAGCGCTCAAGTTGATAAACCCTGCAATCGTGAACATTCCACAAAGTTCTAGTAGATGGCGCCACCGCTTAAAAGCAGTTGCGCGCGCAGCGCGTCATCAGTTCAAATTGAAAAAGCGAGTGAAAACAATCACGAAACGAGTTTGAAGAGAATTTCTCTGCGAATTTACGTAGTCTTGAAGTTATTCAGTTGAAAAAGAAGATAGAAAAGATGTCGCTGCTACCATTCTTGTTCGACTATGAAATGAGCCGCCCCCGTCTCATGGAACAACACTTCGGGATGGGGCTAACACCTGAAGATCTCCTGCACGTTACTGCTGGGCCCCTGATGAACAGGGAGTACTACAGGCCCTGGCGACACCTCGCAGCAGCTGCACGGGATGTGGGATCCAGCATCAAGTCGGACAGAGACAAGTTCCAAGTTAACTTGGATGTGCAGCACTTCGCGCCGGAGGAGATCAACGTGAAGACTGCTGATGGGTACATAGTGATTGAAGGAAAGCACGAGGAGAAGAAGGACCAGCATGGGTATATTTCCCGCCAGTTTACCCGGCGATACGCTTTGCCCGAGGGTTGTGTTCCTGAGACCGTGGAGTCGAGGCTGTCTTCTGACGGCGTGCTGACGGTGACTGCTCCCAGGAAGGTGCCGGCTGCTGTCCAGGGCGAGCGCAGCGTCCCCATCACCCAGACTGGACCAGTTCGCAAGGAAGTGAAGGACCAGGCTAACGGCGACAAGTAGGGTGATGATTTCTTACTTAAAATAAGTCATTCCTTATTTTCTCTCTTACTGTAAGACTGATTGTTTTTAAGTTACCTACCTAATTAATAAATACTTGGTATTTGAACATAAATCGGAATTTCATTTTTTTTTTATTGACCAAGGACAGTTTATTCTTATTACGAACATGTCATGTCACCCTCATAGGAACACTAGAAGTGTGAACGAACATGGAAATCGTTATAATCTACGCTTAATTGCTTCCATAGTCGAAAATAGTTGAATTTTTATTCCCCAATGATGGTAGGTATTTAATAAAACCTACCTTAGGTTTATTGAGTGTAGGTACCGGGTAGGAAATGACTTGATGATGCCTAATGATCAGGATCTATAAAAATCTACCTAACTACAGAGTGGTACCACCAAACAACCAAAGATTATAATAAGTATTTTTTTTTTTTTTAAGGGGGGAAAATCATCGAATGACTACTCCCGCCTGGGTGAGGCGGAAGGGAGTGTCAGACTCTTACTGACTAAAAACCACCCCGTTCCTTCTCCTGCACGTCGAGCCGGAGCCCCGGTTACCCGTTAGGTTCTCCGCGACTCCGAATCGGCATCGGCCCTATTGGGCCCCATCTGTGGTGGTCTGATGGCTCTTTGAGGCGCGCGCGGAACGCGACGCGCCGTACGCTCGGGTCTGTTTCTGGTCGGACGGGGAGCCACCCATGCTCGCCGTCCGCAGGCCCGCGCTTACGGTGGCCGGAGATCGTCCCGCGATCCCCGACGCCCGGTGTGTCCTTCGCGATGGCTGGGTTGCGAGGAGGCAGCGCTTCGCTGCCTCACGCGTCCCGCCTCCTCCTTAGCTAGCATGACTGCTTCGCAAAAGGAGGAGACGGCATCCCAGTCCCCCTCGCTCCGCATCATGACCTGCATTATAATAAGTATAGGGGAACAAAACAACACTACCCCACTGTAAGTTACAACGTAGCAAGTAGCAACCTACTCAGGGCTCGATTTGACCAGACTGATCACTAGTTTTCAACCGACTTCAAAAAAAAGGAGGAGGTTCTCAATTCGACTGTATATTTATTTTTTTATGTTTGTTACTCGAAGACGCCTGGACCGATTTCAAAAATTATTTTTTTGTTTGATAAGGTAGGCTTGTAATTTGGTCCCATCAGGATCTGATGATGGAATCCCAGGGGAAACGAGAGGAAATTTAAAAAATTATAGAGGTGATTAGTGCATTTGTTAATTTTTTCATTAAGTATTTAAAGCCTAGTATTTCGTAGGAACACGTAAAAATATAAAAAGTTTAATGTTAGAGTGTCTTGAATATGTTTATTCTGAAAAATAACAATATTTATTTTTTGTGGTTTCATCTTTTTAACACGTTCGAGGACAGAACGAGATTATACGTCATCGTTCGAGATTTTAATATCGCACAACGTACGATGACGTTCAAATAACATTTAAATTATACGGCAGAACGTTCATTTCCGATGAAAGTTCAAGTAAAAATCCTTTTAAATGTATCTTGTGTCACAACATATAAAATACCCAACTCTGTACTGTCACGTAGGGTAAGTTTAGAACTATTTAAAATAAGTGTCGTTGATAGTGTGCGGTTACGGTATTCACATACGCACAACGTGTTTATACGTCCCGCGCTCCTACATTCAGCGCGGCTGTGTCACTGTGTACATTACTTTAATGCAAATTAATGATTTTACAGTGTGAAATTGATGTTTAATGGGTTATTGTGTGTTTTAGATGGATATAAGCGCAAAATAAGACACAAGATAAGCATGTTTGATGATTCCGACATCTCCAACGAGGCGGATCCTTACCTAGATGCATATACACGTTGACGTGATAAAACGATTGTGTCATGATATGTTTAAAACGATATTTCTTCATGGGACACTACGTACTGATACGTCGTATAATTTTGTATAGACACGTACTGTGTCATTTTGAAAACCCGACTCAAGTGGTAGCGTCCTCGAACGTGTTAATGTTATTTATGTGAGAATTATTATGTGTACGTAAGTATTTACCGTATTGTGGTTTTTCAAACACAACGTAATTCGTTAAGATTATATTTATAATGCGTCATCTTGTCGTATAAAAATGGCGTCATAAAGATGACAGTACACTTAGTATATTAGTAGGTATTCTGTGGTACAGCTAGCCACAAAATAAAACGTAACTTTATTTCACTTTTTAACCGACTTCAAAAAAAGGTGGGTTCTCAGTTTGACGTTACGAATGTATGAATATGTTTTTGCGCAATTCTCTCGGGATTGGCTGAACCACAGATATAATAAAGAAGTTTAACTTTTTTAATATTTCTGTGGGCTGAACAAATTTTGATGTAGTTTCCGGAAAAGTGTTGTTACATTTTTTTTTTTTTTCAGGGGGGAAAATCGTCGAATGACTGCTCCCGCCTGGGTGAGGCGGAAGGGAGTGTCAGACTCTTACTGACTAAAAACCACCCCGTTCCTTCTCCTGCACGTCGAGCCGGAGCCCCGGTTACCCGTTAGGTTCTCCGCGACTCCGAATCGGCATCGGCCCTATTGGGCCCCATCTGTGGTGGTCTGATGGCTCTTTGAGGCGCGCGCGGAACGCTACGCGCCGTACGCTCGGGTCTGTTTCTGGTCGGACGGGGAGCCACCCATGCTCGCCGTCCGCAGTCCCGCGCTTACGGTGGCCGGAGATCGTCCCGACTCCCGCGATCCCCGACGCCCGGTGTGTCCTTCGCGATGGCTGGGTTGCGAGGAGGCAGCGCTTCGCTGCCTCACGCGTCCCGCCTCCTCCTTAGCTAGCATGACTGCTTCGCAAAAGGAGGAGACGGCATCCCAGTCCCCCTCGCTCCGCATCATGACCTGCACTAGGCCCGGACGCGAGAGGTCGCCATCGCCGATCACTTCCCTGAGGGCACGGCGGTGCTCGGCCCACGCAGGGCATTCCGCAACAGAAGTGTTGTTACATTAGGAGAAGATTTTAGTATATTAATTAACCGACTTTAAAGATGTTGAAGTCGGTTGTTTTAAACGTAGTTATATAAGAATTACAATATATTTAATATTTTTTACTCTAATTCTGTACCTGAAATACCTACCTAGCTACCGACAAATTGATATATTAATATTATAATTAAAGTTCATTTTATTGGCACAATTTTCTAAACACTTAGATTGTCTGATTTAAAAGTTATGCTACTCGTAAAATAAGCTATGGATAGGCGTAGCTAATATTTTGTAGTCAAGTCATATAAATGCCATTTTTACATGTAATAATTAGGTACATTGTTTCGGTGCCATAGTCATCCATAGTTCCCAATTTACCGGTCCACAGCAACCCTTATGTTTTTCCATTATCCTCAATAGTTCTACACTAACTGGGGGCTGTCCTTGGGTGCATTTCCATAGTGCATACAGGGATAGTCGCCGGTTTGTGTGTCCATTACAGTTAGATTAAAGTTGTATAAAGGGCCTCTGCGCAGTTGGCTTCGGCCCCTCATATGCCTTCCAAATGACCGGAACCCTGTGGTCCCGAGTATGGTAATGACATACAATAATAATAATTTATTTATCGTTTAAGTGTAATATAAAGATTCACCTAATTTAAATGCCTGTTTTATAAGAACCAGTTCCTACTACCTATTTTAGTAGAATTATTATGTTCTAAGAAAATTCGTTTGGTAGGTAAAAGAACGAATATCATTTAAAATATATTATTTGGTTTATTTTACCTTAAATAAGTAATAATATTCACAATACATCTACCTACGACAGAGATAGAACCATTCCATAAAAAACCTGAACCTATACTGAACTACGATTTCCAACCATTTGGCAGGTGCCAAGCATAAAGATAGTGACGACAAACAAACCCCATTCACCTAAGTATACCTCTATAGAGGAGGCTCATAGTTCTGCCGGATTTGTGTGCAGCATTCGTAACAAAGCCGGCGGGCTTCTTGTCGGCGATACCGCCGGCAGCGGAGCAACAGTTTGATCACGGCTTTCGATAAGAGTGGTATCGTTTCATATACGTTGTGCGTGATATAGTGTATAAAATGACTGATTTCCATGACTTTCTGACATAAAAACTCTTGAAGCATTCTGGGAACATCACGCCTATTTCGTAGACTTGGTCTCGTCCAAGATCTTCTTTTGCTACTTTTTTATTTTGATACAGAACGTAGTTACACCAGAATTGCGGCAGCAATTGCGATATTATCGCCCATTTTCGATTATTCCGAACCTGACCCGCAAACCTGACCCGGTGGTGGGATAGGTTAGGAATTTGAAAAAATAATTGATATTTATTCCGAACGTAACCCTATTCCTAACCTGACCCGACGTATCGTTCCTATCATTACCCGAATTGCGAAGTAGGTAGGTTTTAAAGGTAGTTACTATAAACCGTTGAAAAGTTCCCTTAACGATTACACTTCTTCATCATCAGACCCGTAATGACAGTCCCACTCGATTTAGGTGTAAAGTCCTCATCAATACAAATTAATCAAGCCCAACCACAAGGTAGTTAATATAAACCGTCGAGGAGTTCTCTCGACTGTCTATCAGCTCAATAATCAGGTCGTCTCATGACCCTTATCAAATTGTAGTGTTTAAAGATCCTTATTGAAAAACATAACAGACGCATTACTCGCGCCTACAATTTTCGAAAGTTCCCCCCGGTTTCTCTAGGATTCCATCATTAGATCCTGACCTCATGGAAATGGGACCATCTCGGGAATATACCATTTCAAACAAAACAAGAATTTTAGAAATCAGTTCACAAATGGCAGATTCGTCTGCGAACAAACAAAAAAAAAACAACAATCAGCCGAACATAGGACTTCCTCCTTTTTTTGAAGTCGGTAAAAATGCGTGTTGTTTTTTGATTGGTAGATTTAATTTTTAAAACTTGTTTCACCCTATTATTTAATCCGGACTTCTAACTTTACGTCTGCAAAATTTCATAGCAATCGGTTTAGTAGTTATGGCGTGAAAGCGGAACAAACAAACAAACAAACAGCGCTGCCTCCTCATTACCCAACCGTCGCGAAGGACACTCCGGACGTCGGGGATTGCGAGACGATCTCCGGCCACCGTAAGCGCAGGCCTGCGGACGGCGCGTTGCGACAAGAACCAGACCCGAGCGTACGGCGCGTTGCGTTCCGCGCGCGCCTCAAAAAGACACCACGGTTGGGGTCCAATACGGCTGATGCCGATACGGAGTCGCGGAGAACCTAACGGGTTATCGGGGCTCCGGCTCGAAGTGCAGGAGTAGGAACGGAGTGGTTTTTAGTCAGTAAGAGTCTGACACTCCCTCCCGCCTCACCCAGGCGGGAGCAGTCAAACGATAAATTTCGTTAATTATTACGTTTAAACGTGCATAAGATTCCCTTTCTTACTCCCAACCAGACGCATACAACCTCTAGATAAGACAAGCACAGACCCACTTCTCGCCACACGTATATTTTAATTCCACACATCCATCAGTCCAGTCCATCATCTTGTTCATCCATACCATACCACAGTACTTTTTTCTGTGACGAGGCGACAGTTCGAAAGAGTGTAAGATTATTGCCATCAACTGCTATACTTCCAGACTTCGTTTCGACTTCTTTTGCTAAAAATATTCTAAGTAATTCTAAAGAATCCGAAAAAGGGAGGTAATTGAGCAGTAGGATCGTTTAATGGTCATCTGTCGGTAAGGATGATGATAAACATGGACACCTGCAACATCGCAGTAGTTCTTTACACGTGCGATGCCAGCCTTTAGGGTAGGAGCAGGAGCCAGGACAGAAGCAAAGGTGGGCTGGATCCTATGCACTGGTTCTCCCACGTAGATGTGTACAAAGAGACTGAGGAGGGATTGAAGTCCTTTTTGTCTTTGACCACGCGGGCGAAACGCGGGCAAAAAGTTAGTAAATAGCCAGTGCAAACCGGTATAAAACGAAAATCAGTCTTTTTATATTTAATATTTATTTTTAAAATGTCGCAGTTGTTATTGTTGATATCGACTCTTTATAATATTATGTGACGTAAATAATGATATTTCGTAAATGGAACACGTTCATTTAGGTACATACGTTACTCCGTTGCCATGCGAGAAAAAAGCGGTCATATTTTTATTTTTGAGGGTACTGGTTTGAGACAGAACTATACATAATCACGACTTAAAATTGATTTGAGTATGTTGACGTTATTGCTTTACTTTTTTTTAATGGGGGAAATCATCGTAACTATGATTTCTCCCGCCTGGGTGAGGATGGAGGGAATGTCAGACTCTTACTAACTAAAATTACCCCGTTCCTTCTCCTGCACGTCGAGCCGGAGCCCTGGTAACCCGTTAGGTTCTCCGCGACATTACTTTACCTTAGGGTCCTATTTTAAAAGAACATCATTGTCCTACGATCAGTCAGTCATGCACAAGCTCCATCTCGTTAGGTTACAAGTTTTTCTTATAATCTTTTCATTTCATAAACAAACACGTGGGAAGAAAACACAACAAAAATGTATAATACTGTTAATTTAAAGTGTAACTTCATGATAAAGTTAGCACACATCCTTTAAAACGAATTATTCGCACAAAAACGTGGTAAAACTGAATCAATGATTTACGTCATTAGGTAATTTAGACAATGTCTGTTTCAACATTTAATGACTGTAACATCGGACAAACTTCCACCGTCGGCGTCGAACAGCTTTCAATTCAACTTAGTATTGAATTGATTATCATACAGAGTTGTCCATTCCACAATACGCGACAACCATTTTAAAAAAATATAAATTCTTTTTGACTTTATGAAAAATAAAGAAAATGAAAAAGTAATGAAAGTACTTTTTCAGCAGTGAAAGGTGGCAGTGAAAGTGTGGATTTGATATTTTTGAAATATATTCTCGGTTTTTATGTTCAAAGGACCTTATTAAAGTAAGTTTGTTTTGTCATTTCGTAATATTTTAGAAGTAAGTAGGTACTTATTGACTTACAGTGGGTTCAATTTGAATAATCTATGCAAGTTTTTTTTTATGAAAACATGTCCCCATGTCATTCATTGCTGTGTTTAAATATTCAAATAGGTATCAGGACACTTAAAGACGACGTGACAAATGCGTCATAAAAAGAATAAGTATCTTTCTATCTACACGAAGTTGGTTAAAAGATAAAGCATCGCACCACGCGTTTTTTTTTCGAAGTGGTATGTTGAGGTTTTAAATGTTCACGTGGGGAGCCATCGACTGCATTGATACTATTGGCGAAAATTGGCGTGAACCTATGCTGTGCGTGTTTTGCCGTGTGAGATAAGTTATCGAAGGTACACCCCCCACACCCGAAAGCATAGTAAGCTCTTGTGTAGTTTATACGGTCCGGTGTGCCCTGCGTGAGCTCAAGTGAGTTGAGCTCCGCTGCATGTGTTCGGTGACGGCGATTGGATGATTCTTCTTCCTCAAAAAAAGTTCTTGAGTAGGTAGCCACCTCCCTATCCCAAAAAATTCATCAAGGTGTAATAAGCTTATGGCCTGCCTAATGAAAACATTGTTTTTTTTCAAATCAAATCATTTATTTCGATTGCAAACATGGGTTATAATAACAAACATAAAAAAAACATACAGTCGAATTGAGAACCTCCTCCTTTTTTTTGAAGTCGGTTGAAAATATACAAAAGGTTGACTGCCTCATTGGCCGAGTGGTCGCAAGTGCGACTGCCAGGCAAGGAGTCTCGGGTTCGATTACCGGGTCTGGCAATGTATTACTGGGTTTTTAAAAATCTTAGTAGTAGCACGGAGTCTGGATACGTGCCCGGTATATGGCAATAGGCTCACCCCCTGTTACATGGGACTCATCAACATAAATAGTAAACAAGTGGGTGTTACATTGTAAGGTGGCATTAAGTGCCGTAATGTGCGCCTCTGCCTACCCCTTCGGGGATAAAAGGCATGATGTTATATTATACAAAAGGTCTTTAATATTTATAGTGAGGTTATCCACATTTTGCCGTTATGGCATGCCAATAATGTACAAGTACATACAAGTATTTCCTAATCAATTTGGGAATTTGGGAGTTGGGAAGTGTATGCATGTCTGCAACACGAAAGGAGTGCTGTAAAATCCTAGGATTTTCTTTTTAGCTAGTACTGTTTAGGTATTTGAAAACTAATAAACCTAAACTCATTCTTAAGCATAAGGCTCTATGCTCTGACGATGCAGAACGTCCATGTGTTTTAGACACAGATATAGAGCTAATACAGAAGTTTTTAATATTTCTGTGGTTTTAGATTTCAAGCAAAGATTCCTAAATGTGAATTAGAATTAATTAACTAGCCCAACTAATAAACAAGGAAATCAGAGAGCAAAAATTATTTAGGTAAATGCTACCTTACTACCTAAACTTTAAATAGCCATTATGTATGCCTACTAAGTTTCAAAACAGAGTGGAAAAATCCACTCTAAATATCTGGTTCCATAACGGTTTTTGGAGCCTAACTACCTAATGTAACTTTCTCATACAAGGGCGCAGAAACGATTTTAATTTTTTATCGTAACGTATCCTTCTCTGTATTAGAAGAGGTCCTTACCCTTTTTTTATTTTTTTGAAGGGGGAATATCATCTTCTCTGACTTCTCCCGGCCGAGTGAGGCGAGAGGGAGTGTTGGCTAACTGGCTAAAAAACCACCCACCCCGGCAACCCGTTAAGTCTTCCGAGCTTAAGGCTAGAGGTCCTTACCCTGGGGTATGCATGCATGTAGTAGCCATACCACTCTTGGCAGGTGTGTTGGAGATCATAGTTAAAATAAAATTAAAAAAATGCGTTTAAAAAAACCACTTCAAAAACGAAGACAAACTAAAAGTAAAAACTAAAAAGGAAAAAATAACTATTATTGGTCACACGTACTTATTAAAGTAAATCCATGCAGTACCTACTTATTGAGATCATCCCGGACATACCTACAAACAGACAAACATTCTAAAACCCATATTTTTGGCTTCGGTATCGACTGTAGATCATGCTCCAAGGTTTGTTTTAAAAAAATATTCAATGTACAGTTTTGACTTTTCTACGATTTTATTATATGTATATCTGATTCACTTAAAATATAAGAAAAAAATGACAACTTAAAATTAAAGTAGTTACAGCATAGTATAAAGAAATACAGAGTATGAGCATGCGGGCGGTACATTGAAAATTTTACTACTTTAATATATAGATAATTAATTAGGAATGTGGGTATTACTAAAAGTATAATACTAGATATAGATTTATAGTTCTTAAACTGTCAAACACCGAGCGGTGAGCGGTGACCGCAACCTATTGTTCTTTAACTCGTCGAGTACCGGTTTTATAGACACAATTAAAGAACAATAGGTCGCGGTCACCGGTGACCGCTCGGTGTTTGACAGTTTAATTGTGTCTGTAATTTATTTATTTATTTATAAGCACATGTATAATTTTATAGCACAAACCAAAACATTATACAGTTAAAAAATAAAAAAATGATACTGATTAAATAATGACGGTACTCAAAGAGTTAAAGGACTTACAGCTTATAAAAACGGATAAAAATAACAATAGGCATAGTATTTCTTTATACTATGCAATAGGCGTAGGTATCAATGAGCCAATTACAAGTCCTCATGTTAAGCATCTTGAAGGAATAAATGAATCGCCCGATCGTAGACATATATTTTATTTGTAGCTATTACGTGTAAGACTTGCCTTGAATTTTGTCGTATTATTCGTTACCTCTTGTCGGCTTGTCAGTACACAGGACAAGGTTCGAATACTTCGAATACACGGAAATATCGTAAAATAAATAAAAAAGGGAAAAATGTCAAAAGGAACATAATATACTATGATTTGTCACTCGATCGACCAACAATAAAGTGATTTAATTGCAGGAAAAAAGTTTTATCCAATTTTAAAAATATTAAGGACTTATTTCAGTTGGTACAGAGATAAGTGGGGGATTGTTTTATGTAATTTACACTTAACTTAATTACTTAAAAGATACCTGAATAGATTTAGAAAATGATATTCAAATAGTCCCATAAATATATTTTTACCACACAGTTCAAGAATCTAGGAAATAAGTATATAGTTTGAAACTCAAAATTGAACAACAGAAAAATATTTTTTATAATCCTATTGTAAGTACAATTAAGTATATTCGATTGCGGTATACATAATATATGTATAATATATTTTGTAGGAAACAAAGCAGTTATCGCGACCAAAAATCTTTTAATTCTTTTTGCAAATCATCGCTTACATCATTCAAGAAAATGTTCACAATAACTGATTTTTGGCAAGGCAAGATGGCAAGATGGTATCTTACGAAACAATGATTTATTAAACACGTGATGGACATACAAACTTCGAACCTACAGTTTTGTATGTACGATGTATATTATGAATATTAAGTAATTCTATTTAAGTGTAAAAATGCACTTGCTTCGAACCAAAATAATTTAAAATTATAACGAATCATTATATAAAATCGTGTAGTACGCAAGGAGCTAAGGCGCCAAGATCCCTGAGGACACGGTAGACCCTGAGGACATGGTGGAACACACAGTAGGGGAATGCCTAGCGTGGGCTGAGCACCGCCGTGCCTTCAGGGACGTGATCGGCGACGGCGACCTCTCGCGTCCGGCCCTAATCCGGGCCATGATGTGGAGCGAGGGGGACTGGGATGCCGTCTCCTCCTTTTGCGAAGCAGTCATCGTCTAGCTAAGGAGGAGGCGGGGCGCATGAGGCAGCGAAGCGCTGAGTCCTCAAAACCCAGCCTTCGGTCGCGAAGGACATTCCGGGCGTAGAGGAATGCGGGACGATCTCCGGCCACTGTAAGCGCGGGCCTGCGGACGGCGAGCATGGGTGGCTCGCCGCCTGACCAGAACCAGACCCGAGCGTACGGCGCGTCGCGTTCTGCGCGCGCCTCAAAGAGCCATCAGACCACCACGGATGGGGCCCAATAGGGCTGATGCCGATACGGAGCCACAAAGAACTTAACGGGTTACCGGGGCTCCGGCTGGAAGTGTAGGAGTAGGAACGGGGTGGTTTTTAGTCAGTAAGTGTCTGACACTCCCTTCCGCCTCACCCAGGCGGGAGAAGTCATTCAATGATTTTCCCCCCTTAAAAAAAGGGCGCCAGGACAGAAAGGGACGCCGCCGCGGTGCCAGAGAAAATTAGGGGTGCCTATGAGGTGCTTGACTAGGCGATCTTTGGGTTTTATCCGTGTCTGGTCTGGTGAGAAATAAACTGAAAAATAATAGTTATTAACTAAGTCTTTGAAAAAATAGTAGCTGTTACAAATAAATGTATTTCTACAAAACCATCGTGGCTATCTATCATTTTAATTGCTCACGTTCATAATAATATCTACACGCGCGATTTGAAATTAATATATTTTTCCGTTACCTACTTACGTATGTTTATATGTACCTACCTATAAAATATTCTTAATATAAAAATAATTAACATGACAATAACAAGTGTAGTGTAGGTATAATTGTTTAGCTCCTTTGGTTTAATTATAATCAGTTTATTAACAAGCCTGTATTCGCACGATCTCCGTTTACTTTAACAAAGAACATGACATAATTACGTACACGGGAAAAGTACGACACCAATTTGCGAATTGAAATTGTTGAGATTATCCCATACAAACTGGAAACAACCTTTTGTCACGGTAATATTTATTACCATACAGTATTGTAACTGGGCCGCTTGACAGAATTCAATACATACAGCCCCGAGGGAGTGTCAGACTCTTACTGACTAAAAACCACCCCGTTCCTTCTCCTGCACGTCGAGCCGGAGCCCCGGTTACCCGTTAGGTTCTCCGCGACTCCGAATCGGCATCGGCCCTATTGGGCCCCATCTGTGGTGGTCTGATGGCTCTTTGAGGCGCGCGCGGAACGCGACGCGCCGTACGCTCGGGTCTGTTTCTGGTCGGACGGGGAGCCACCCATGCTCGCCGTCCGCAGGCCCGCGCTTACGGTGGCCGGAGATCGTCCCGCGATCCCCGACGCCCGGTGTGTCCTTCGCGATGGCTGGGTCGCGAGGAGGCAGCGCTTCGCTGCCTCACGCGTCCCGCCTCCTCCTTAGCCAGCATGACTGCTTCGCAAAAGGAGGAGACGGCATCCCAGTCCCCCTCGCTCCGCATCATGGCCTGCACTAGGCCCGGACGCGAGAGGTCTCCATCGCCGATCACTTCCCTGAGGGCACGGCGGTGCTCAGCCCACGCAGGGCATTCCGCAACAGTGTGTTCCACCGTGTCCTCAGGGTGGTCCTCGCAGTGATGACACCCGGGCGTTTCCTCCCGCCCCATCAGACACAGGTACCTCCCGAAACTTCCATGTCCGGTGAGGACCTGCGTCAGGCGGTAGGTGAGGACGCCGTAGCGTCTCTCAAGCCACTCCTCAAAGAGGGGACTTACCGCTGCAATGGCAGCGAGCCTAGCCCTCGGTTGCGACATGCGTTAGGGCTGCCCGTCTCCAGCATGTCAAATACATTTGACATTTGCCTACTTTCTGTTTCTATTCAGTGTTGTGATTGTAAATATTCTTTAGCGTGATATTTTATAGCCTATAGCCTTCCTTGATAAATGGGCTATCGAACACGGAAAGAAATTTTTAAATCGGTCCAGTAGTTTCGGAGATTAGCGCGTTCAAACAAACAAACAAACTCTTCAGTTTTATAATATTAGTCTAGATTTCCTACTCGTCATATTAAATTTGTACTCGAACTGATATTTAGACAAAAATCGCGCGGTTATTGTTAAAAAAAATCCCGTCCGTTTGTCACTGCCACAGAAGAAGTGAGAACTTTTTTAATATTTCTGTGGTCACTGCAGTACTTACAACCGTGCCGTCACTGTCTGCGCTCCGAACACACCCCGACATCGAGGCGCTTATGTATAGCTCGCGCTTCGTCCGTTTGTATGAAGTCGGAGTACAGTATGATATTATTACCGTACTTAAGTTAACCACAATGATTAATAATTATAAAATTGGGTACTTTCGTTAACCAAAAATAAATAATTTCGACTGTTCTATACAATAAAATAATCACACTTTCATCAGGTAGGTAATTGATTTTATAACCAACTTGATTTTAGTATTTTTCTAGCAAATTTTTGACAAATAAGTATGCTGTTTGACTCTAAAAATTCGTGACGTCACAATAGACAATCTCGTACAAAATTGGGTACTTGCCTTAATCAAAAATAAATTGTTTCGACTGTTCTATACAATAAAATATCCAATAATAATAATCACACTTTCATTAATTGATTTTATGACCAACTTAATTTTAGTATTATTTCCGCAAATTTTTAAGATATAAGTAACCGCTTACCATCATGTAGGCCGTGTGCTTTTTTACCAGCGTCGTAGTATAAAAAAAGAATATGCTGTTTGACTCTAAAAAATCGTGACGTCACAATAAACAATCTCGTACAAAATTCATTTCATTCAGTTCGATATAAGTATTGAATTTGACTAACTAATTGGCAAGTACCTACCTAATTATACCGAACAAGGATCTATTTGAATTATTTGTAAATAATAAACCGGTCCATCTTAAATTACGAGCCTATTATATGAATAATTAAAACATTAATGTTATTTACTTAACAAATACTTTGATTTAAGCTTCTTATTTGGTATTTATTATAATTATATTAAAATAAGTCGGGTTTTCCTTCCTGACGCTCCAGAACGCACGAACCGATTTCCACGGGTTTGCATTCGTTGGAAAGGCCTCGGGCTCCGTGAGGTTTATAAAATATAAAATAAAAAAATGTTCTTCATCTTTTAATCACCAAACGAAATATTACATAAAACGAAGCCATCTGGTGGCGAAACGGAGTTCGCCGGGGTTTGCTAGTTATAATTATATTTTCTAATTATTCCACAGTTTGAGTTAGTACATACATACATAAAACATAACATGACCTAGGCAGATGTGTACATTATGTCACTGTACAATGTAACACCCACTTTTCACTATTTTTATGTTATGAGTCCCATGTAATAGGGTGTGAGCCTATTGCCATATACCGGGCACATTTCCTGACTCCGTGCTGCTACTGACAATTGTTTTATAAAAACCCAGTAATACTTTGCCCGACCCGGGAATCGAACCCGAGAGCCCTTGCCCGGCAGTCGCACTTGCGACCACTAGGCCACCGAGGCTGTCTGTCTGTTGTGTTAGTAATCATAATGAAATCATTATTAAAGAACTTAAGTTTATAGTTTTCATAATTTTAATGTATTTATTATTTAAGTAGATAATTATAAGTATAACTGACATTAAGTAAGTAGATATACAATAATATACATATACATAGATAAGTACTTAGGTAGGTGTAAAATGTGTATTGTGTTCACACGGCTACACATAAAGCTTTACATAACCAGTATAAACTGAACGTTAAATGTGCGGAAAGATGATGCGACGCCACACCAGGATAAACTGGTTTTGTATAGGTTGATGTGTTGCCGTGTGTACGTAATTCATAGTAATATACATATTTTATAATTATAAATATAGCACTACTCTGAAAAATATTAGTATGAAAAACTGATACAGGATTACTTGAGTGTTATTTAATTTTATTTTGCGTCATTGAAAGAGGTTTATTTTTTACTGACTGTTGATTTAACCACTAAAGCGAAGAATCAATAAGAAAATTATCATAAACAACCGGAAGATGTCCACTCCTGGACAAAGGCCTCCCCCTTAGTCCACGTTGAACGACCCGGGTAATTAAAAAAACATTTCGTAATTTGGTCTAACTAACTTAGGGTAAGTCGATAGTATTAAGAATACTCATGTTCTCATTACAATATTCTAAGCATCGTGAGAGTTTTCAAAAAAATAATATATAAGTAGGTAAGCACGCCTGCCGCCGATTTAAATAACCCTGCTTGTCCTTCAAGAGAATAAATTCAACCTATACCAAAAAAAAAAACATTTGAATGTCAAACAGAGAAGAATTTTAAATATGTTCAATAATGTGACTGCCTCGTTGGCCGAGTGGTCGCTAGTGCGACTGCTGGGCAAGGGGTCTCGGGTTCGATTCCCGGGTCGGGCTAAGTATAACTGGGTTTTTAAAAATCTCAGTAGTAGCACGAAGCCTGGAAATGTGCCCGGTATATGGCAATAGGCTCACCCCCTATTACATGGGACTCATAAACATATATATATAGTGAAAAGTGGGTGTTACATTGTACAGTGGTATAATGTGCACCTCTGCCTACCTCTTCGGGGATAAAAGGTGTGATTTTATGTTGTCAATAGTAAAAATATCAAAATAATGTCTATATCCATCGGTCAAACTCGTCATGAAGTTTCTACGTTCCAACGATCCAGACGTTCCGAAGCATAGATTCATAGATATTTAAATGTGATAAAAAGGCTATTTTTTAACAAATGATTTCCATTATTCAACAGGTTTCTAGAAGCGGCACAATTAATTACCATACTAGTAATAAAAGTTGTGAGAACATGTGAGAATTGAAGAATTTCCTACAAACGATCAAGAGACGGCAGGATGACGAAAATAGTAGAAATTTTGAGGTCAAAATTAACGGGACGAGCTCATATTTATAGACAGGTAAAAGAATAATTAAGACAAATTTTATTAAGTATAATAATATCCTTCCTATCAGAACGGAAACAAATTATAAGGTTCACTGCACTGACGATTATAATTTCTTAATCAATTTGATTTGCTAATAAAGTGCAAAGTGGGTATATTAACTAATTCGTATTTTTGAAAATTCAAAAACATGGAATTAATTTGTTGAACCCAGAACTTGCTATACATTCACGATTTCGACCATATAAGAGTCGGAATATTCAACAAGGGACTGAAGACTGAGTCAAGATTTTTCTATTACCATATTTATCATAATAAGTAACTTATGGAAGACTTCGTGAAGGTTTAGAGAATAAAAAAGAACTCATTAAAGTAAAACACCTTCACACTTAGTCCTAATATTTCCTTTACAAACTCAATGCAGGTGCTGGCCACATTTGCATCGTCTCTGCTGTCCCTCGCTGGGGGTATCACATTCGGGTTCACGGCGGTCCTGCTGCCACAACTTAAGACTGACACAAAATTCCCTTACGATGAAGTTTATGACTCATGGATTGGTAAGCACTCCAAAGCACTTTGTTAGCTGTTTAGCAGATTTTAATTATAATAATATAGGTTTTCTATATGTTCATAAATATGGTCACACCTATCTGCCATTCTTGTCTTCAGAAATAATGGACTTCTGGATGAATAACTTCTGGAAAAATGTGTTCAACGAAATGACTTTATCTGTTACAGCCTCTATCTCTCCGCTGGCCATGATGATGGGGTCTCTGTTCTCTGGCTGGATGAGTGACGGCGTCGGTAGGAGGATGGGCCAGCTCATCCTTATCGTACCGTTCACACTCGGCTGGGTTATCATGGGCGTGGCTAACAACAACGCAGTCATGCTGATAGGAAGGTTCATCACTGGAATGTGCACGGGAGCTGTCAGAGCAAACAGCATGGTCTACATCGGAGAATTATCTGACCCGAAGCACAGAGCTGTGGCCCTCTTCTGGCCCTCGGCGGCCATCCATATAGGAGTCCTAATCAGCCATCTAATCGGCAAATACACTTATTGGAAAACCAGTTGCTTGCTTTTCACAGTACCCAACATTCTTTGCTTCTTAATCCTACTATTCTTGAAAGAAAGCCCGCTATGGTTGCTTTCGAAAGGTAAAATCGATGAAGGCGTACAATCTTTCAAAGAATTTAGAGGTGAAGGAGAAAGTGCGGAGAAGGAACTCACAAGTGCTTTAGAGAAGAATAAAGAAAAAGCGGAAGAAACTACGACATTCAGAGATATACTGGACATAATATTTAGTAAGCCGTTCGTGAAGTCGATGGCGACTATAGTGTTATTGTTTATCGCGGTGCAATGGTGTGGTATCAACACTTTATCATTCTACGCAGAAACTATCTTTGAGAAGACATTCGGTGGTGATATTGATGCATTTATGTTGACGATAGTTACTGATTCCATTAGAATCATAGCAGCTATCAGTATTTGTATGTTTGCTAGGATGATTCCTCGTAAAATCACTTTTGTAGCTTGTTCTATAACAACAACTGTTGTGTTGGTAGGACTGATTCTATGTTTGTATTTGAATCCTTCTGGGTTAGTGTGGTTGTCTGTAACTTGTATGGTTATATACATAGGTATGGCAAGTGCATTAACATCTATTTCATGGTCATTTGTAGCTGAAATATTCCCTTCAAAAGTTCGTGGCCTCGGTTCTGGCATGAGCTCGGCTATATCATTTGTTTTATTGTTCATTTCTGTGAAAGTCACTCCAGAGATAATGTACAAGTTTGGAGAACAAGTAATGTATGCTAGTTTTGCGAGTGTTACGTTATTTAGTAGTATTTTCTTAAGCTTTATTCTGCCGGAGACTAATGGTAGAAGTTTGCAGGATATTGAAGATTCATTGTACAAAAAGAAACCTGCTGCAAATAAGGATATAAACCTAGCGACATTAGAAAATGCAGCGAAATAATACTTAGGTGAATCATTGTAGAGATGTGTTCTATACAAGGTGTAGTTTTGAAGTCATTTCTTGGGGGCATGTCACTGAAGTCATAAAGGTGCAATGTAAGAGAAAGTTTCGGGCCAATAGTTAAAGATACAGCTATAATAAATCGTTTATATTACAATTTTTTTTATTGATTCGGACTCAGCTAGAAAATGACGCGGCTTTAAAACAACACCTTGTATAATGTTAGTAGGTATAATATGTAATTGTACATATGACAATAATATTATTTATAAACTATAAAGAAATAATTAATTAAGTACCAAACACGCCTTTGATTCCATACAAAAACCTTCTCAACGTGGTAATAGTAATAATTTACCAAAGGTATAATGGTGCTGTCACATGTCAGCCATGTTGGAACAGAAGAATTGTTTGTACCTGACCTGATTGTTTATTTTGACCTGAGTATGTAAAACTACGACAGACAAGAGGGACCCGAGAAGTGCTATTATTAAAATCTCCATGGTTTCTGGGATCCTCAAGGTGCGTGCTAAGCCCGTACGAGAGTGGAACAGCCTACGCCTTTAACAGTGGACTACTTTAGGTAATGATGATTAATTACTTCTTCACCAGTACAGTTGTTTCATATGAATAATTATCTTTTTCGATCTCTTTGACTGGATTTTGGTGTTACATTGTTCTCGCACAATCGAACCAATAAAACTGTAACTGGAGAATTGTATTGTGACTTTAATTGAAAAAGAGTATAACCTATGGAGTTTCTTGCTCGTTCTTCTTCATAGGAATCTACAGCTTGGAATGAGCAAATAGCTTCACTTTAATTTTTTATCGTTGACGTTCAAACGTGCCTTCCTGGGTGCTTACTCTTGAAACCAATCTCAATGTCAATTTAATTTTAATCCAATAAAATCTCAATAATTATCCAATGTCAAAACTATACAACCCCTATTCTAGCTGTTGAAGTAGGATTCATAACACGGAATATATAGCCAAACTCGATACTATTTAGTTCGTGAAAAATCCATGCAATACGGATGTAATAGGCGCTAGTGTTGCAACTCAAGAGTACGAAATTTTACAATGTCAATGTCGATCGATCGGAATTGGATTCAAGAGTAAGCCCCCTGGTCTAATTAAAATAAATGATTTTGACTTTGACTTTGCTTTGACTAAGCAATAGAAAACAATTTTAACTTCAAACCTTCAAAAATTAGTTCCTTTTTCAAAAGGCCGCCAAAGCACCTGTCTGTGACTCTTCAGGTGTTGCAGGTGTCCTTAGGTTAGGTAACCATGGGCGGCGCTGATCGCTTACCACCAGGTGATCCGTGTGCTCGTATGCCTTGTATTAAAAAAAAAACCAGCAAACGAATGAGACAGCATCCCAAAATAGCACTTTAAAAATATCAGCTACTTGCGTAATGTTTATGTCTTTTTCATTTAAAGTATAACGACGACTTTATTTTACCGAGAAAGTTAGCGTAGGTGTATGATTCATTAATTAGTTCGTTTATTTACAATGGTTTGTGGACTATGGCGCGCGCTCACTCGTATAAATTTTAAATATGGGGTGTCTTCCATTCAGACCATAAATTGTTTGAATAGAATGTCATCAGATAATCCTCAATTCACTATTATCGGTAGGTACTTGAAAACAGAAATCATTACTACGCAGCCGGTGAAACAAAATTAACAAACGTTATACAAAAAGTAAAAAACACTTTATTTATAAAACATTAAACACAAACAAACTTAACAGAATTAAGGGAACAGTCTCATAATGCAGTCTGGTCATCATTCCTTCTTGGATTCATCTAGAACATCCTTGCGAACTGGTCCAGTATGGGTTATAGGCACTGGTCTCTCACCTTTGACAGCCTCAGCCTTCTTCGGAGCCACTACAGTCAGGATCCCATCAGAAGATAATCTGGACTCCACAGTATCAGGGTTGCTCTCCTCCGGTAACTTGAATCTTCGCACAAACTTTCTGGACACAAATCCATGTTCATCAGCCTTTTCCTCGTGCTGACCTTCCACTACAATGAATCCATCACTGATCTTCACAGCTATTTCATCCGGAGAAAAGTGCTGAACATCCACGTTGATCTGCCATTTGTCCTTATCCACTTTAATTGAGGATCCTGAACTTTTGGGCCACCAAGGTTGGACTCCAGCGATGATTGGACTGATAGGGTTGACTGAAGCCGATATTAAGTCATCAGGGGTCACAGTCAGGCCGAAGTTCTGGTCCAGAAGTCGCCGTGGCCATCTCGGAAGGTCGTAGTCGAAGAAGTAAGGTCTTAGAGACATTTTTGTTGTGTTGTTGTATTCGCGTTTCGTTTTAGTGTACGGGAATAGAGGAGTCGACGGTTTTATATATACGCGCGGTGAATCACGTCTGGCAGTGGCATGAGTCTCGATAGTATTTGGAACGAGAAAGTTCCCGATGCATACAACAAATGATCTATGGAGACTGGAGATTAGAACTAGCTAGACGCGCGGATTCTTTCGGGATTTTTAGCTTGTGTAATCACGTCGAATCTTTGTGTTAACTTTTAGGGCCTGAATCTGATTAACTTTATTAATCAAGTTATTGTTTTATTTATATTTAAATAACGAATTAACATACATAACATCACGCCTTTTGTCCCCGAAGAAGTAAGCAGTGTACACATTATGCCATTGTACAATGTAACACCCACTTTTCACTATATATGTTATGAGTCCCATGTAATAGGGGGTGAGCCTATTGCCATATACCGGACACAATTTCAGACTCCGTGGTATTACTGAGAATTAAAAAAAAACAATAATACTTATCCCGACCCGGGAATTGAACCCGAGACCCCTTGCCCGGCAGTCGCCCTTGCGACTAATTGACCAACGAGGCAGTCGAAATAACGAAATAATTATTTATATATAAATAGATTTTACCTACTTAAATACTAAATCAGGATGTTAGTAATTAGTGTGTATTCCGCACGTATGTAAAATATTCCAGCAAAATGCAGTACCACCATTTTATCAAACTTGTTTTTGTGTCCTTCGGCTTAAAAAGGACATATTTATCGTACTTATATGTAATGTAAATAACCTCTGAACTATGCACATATGATTGATTGAGCTGACTTACATTGCAACCGGTATCGGTAAGGAAAAATAAAGTCCTACATACCATACGTACATACATCTTCAGGATCAAATTAATTGATACTAAGAAGTTGGTGTAATCTTGAAGTAAGTTTACTTAAACTGACTTTGCCTATATTACTACAGAAACTTGTTGAAAGCCTTAGTTCCTTATCTAATCAGTGTCAGTAGGTAGGTCCGTAGGTAGGTTTTTTAACCAATTAATCAATGATTCTTTGCTTATATATTCGAGTCGAGTAAGTCCTAAATTATTCATTAATGTACCTACTAAAAGTTTCAAACAAACGATTTCGGTTGGCGCGGTGGCAACATGTCGCGGGTTCGATTCTAGCACGGAACAACTCTTTGTGTGATCCACAGATTGTTGTTCCGGGCCTGAGTGTCATGTGTACACACTTGAATGGTTGTAATTGTAAACACACCCATGACACAGGAGAAAATCCTAGTGTGGGGCAACGTTTTTATAAATAAAGAAACATTGAACAATAATACGGGGTCGTGTGAAAATCATCTATTTTTGTTGATAAACAAAAATATAAGAAATCGTAAGGTTTGTAATAATTATTCTGTCTTCGCAAAGTTTGCCAGAAAATACTAGAAATGAATGAACGTGGGTATTACCTTTATACTATACACACGTCACTATAACGTTAATATTGAGCTACTATGTATTATTATTACATAGGGACTACCTACCCAGTAAAATGACTGTCCGTCTATTAGTTTATTGGTTCATGATCTATTTTAAGCAGGTTCGCCTACGAAAAACAAGTGTTGAAAAATTCTTGCGTTTCATTCAAGTATTTTTAGAACATTTGCGTCAAAAGCGGTTGGAACTTTGGAATTGTTGATAGTTTCACCTAATGCTGTTTACTTTATTGAGGAAAGGAACTCAGCAGAGGCGTATTATTATGAAAACTAATCAGGCCACTACCTAGCCGCCATGAGCAGGTCCATGTCCATCAGCAAATATGTACAAGTGGCGGTGGCGTAAAAAAAATTACGCGCCTATGAGCTGTTGGACTAGGGTTGCCTCTGGGTTTAATGCACCTCTGGAACTCAGGTGGGTTTTTCGATAAGAGTATCAAACTGTTTAGACCTATATTATATATATATATATAACTTCACACCTGTCTCCCATGGGGGTAGGCAGAGACTAGTGAACACCAATTACTACGATTCCTACATACCTCTTTCGCTTCATTAACCTATATTACCTCTATATATTTTGTGGAAAACTGGTACCTAGCTAATTGAATCTGTTATGAACAAAGAGTAAGAAAGTAATGAACAAATATTTTATGATTGTATAAAGGAAAACCAAATTATTTGTGGGTTAGTAGTTTTACATTATTTATTACTAATAACGATGTATGTGAATACGAATATGTTTTGCTTATAAAAGTATGGCAACAAACTCATTATCTATCGAGTTCATCACGAACACATCTTTATCAATAATATAAAAGAAGAGAGTAAGTTTTCTTTCCAAATGTCCTCAAGTACTCAAACGCCACTCCATTTTAATTCTGTTACTAGAAATTCATTGCTGGCAGAGGTGGTACGATATTTAAGTAAAATTTAAAATTGAGTAACCTTTTAGGTATTATTCGGGAGTTTGTTTTGTATAGAATGTCTGTATATGTACTTCGCAAATCTTCTTTTGTTTACTCTTCGGGTGGTCGTTTCGGTTTTTTCCCTTTGACTTTTGGAAACCCTGTACAATTAGTATAGCATTTTTTTTGGTCAGCTGCCTGAGCTGCCTCTATTTCTTCTTTGTCAGTTACAAAGGCACCGTAACATATTGGAATGTTGATCATTTCAGCAGGTGTCCCGGAATCCTTATACGTCCTTGGAACCTCCACTTTCAGCGTTCCATCGGGGCTCAACTTACACGTAATTTGTGACGGAATACAGCCCTCAGGCAACTTGAATTTTCTTATAAATTGTCTTAGAATATATCCTTGCTCCGTATCCTTTTCTTGCTTCCCTTCAATGACCACGTATTCTGGGTGTGCTCTCACTCGAAGTTCATCCAAATTGTAATTGTTCACGTGTATACTTAGGTGAAATGAATCTTTCCCGATTCTCACAGTCGGTCTCAAACTTTTAGTGTTTTTCATAGAATAGAATAGCTTTGGTTGTAGTTGGCTACTCAGCAGGGATCTTAAAAACATTGTTCTGTTAATTTATGGCATTTTTTGGTTTGATTTTGGTTTTACCTATTACTGGAATTTTTGTTGGCTGTCGTGGTTGACAATGGTTGACAATCTTAATTTGACATTTGTTGTTATTATCCATCAGCTGTGTAATTATATCTACTTATAGTTATTCGTTGAAAAAAGAGTAAAGAGAATAAATTAGAACTTCTCGGTTCAGTTTCATACATAGAAACCTACATATTTGAACCCACGGACGTTGAAATGAACTTTGTTTGTTGGACCAACCAATAAGTACTTTCTTGTACTTGTTCCAGTGAAGGTACATTTATTGTTAAGTTATCTCATAATAAAACATTTCATGACACTTGATAATCATGTTTAGTTTGTGGGTAGGTGTAGATATTTATAAAACAAATACTTAAGTACCTAGTAAGTGGGTACCTATACAACATTTTTTTAAATTAACTGAACAAAGATTTTTTTATGGAATCGGAGGCAATCGGACTGATCACCTGATGGAAAACCAGAGCCAAAGAGTGTAATAAGTATAGGGGATCAGTCTCAGGTGCGTTACCGGTCTTTGAGATTTGCGTGCTATAATGTAGCAATGTAGGTGTAATATAATAATACCATGATATATGTATCAGTGGAAGGTATCTAGACATAAACACAAAAAGCAAGAAATAACAGTGTACAGCGACATCTAACGGGGAGTAGCAACACGCTGATTGAGCGATGAACGCGTTCTTTGAGGACATAAAAAAGCCACGTCGCCATAAATTTTCATACATGAATAAAGATAAGGAAAATAAAAAACCAAAAAAACCGAAAAGTTGTAGATCTTTTCAATATCTAGAACTTTGCCATTGACCTTTTTTCCATAGGTATTGTAGTTTTGCCGGAAATCAAGATATTTTTAATCCTGAAAAGCAAAGCTCTCCCCCTCCCACTTCCCGATCTCGAATCGACCGTAATTTACTCTCATTTTTATCATATTGCCCTCCTTTTCTGATTGTACTGTATTATAAAGGAACTTTCAACTAATTTTATGAGAAAATTAGTCTTTGGGAACATAAAAAACGATTTAGGTATTGTAAATATATAAAGTTAACTACTATAGACATTATGATGCCAATGCCATGCTAGAGGCTCATATTCATGAGCAGCATTTCGCGACCCGCGACGCTGCGACTGTCGCGCTGCTACGATAATATGAGTCTCTACTCTAGCATGGCTTGAAACTAGTCGAGTTCCTCGTCAAATAATTACGTGAGGAAAACAACAATTTATTTAGTATGTCTCACGGAAGTTACAATACAAATACATTATGATAAAGATATAAAAAAGGTATAATAGGTAAAAAATAAAAACCATCCTTCTAAATATTGGTATATTTTCAAAAATATTGTATTACATGACTTGCTTATCTATTTACAAAAATAAAAACAAATTAATATTAAATCAGTTATACAACCGCCAATGCTTCGCTACAATTAAATAAAACTGGAAACATTACCAAATGTCTCGACGGAAACTTACTAATTATATATTTACAAAATAGCAAGATCGATTACAATCTTGAGATCCCAACATTCATTTTGAAAAATAATTTTGATCTTTCATCTTGTAATATGTATAGTGCAGTGCGATTTAGTTAGGAAAATAATTTTTCACTATCTCATTTAGTTACCTAAATATCTATAATTTTGTAGATTTTTATCGGTATACATATTACAATTAACATAAACATTGCCGTATAATAAATATAATGTAGAAAGAGGCATCAGTTGATAACATGAACAATATTTTGTCACTTATCCGGAGTACCATCATAATATCAATGTTGTTTATAATCTGATGCCTCTTTTTACATAGTTAAGCCCCATTTAATATAAAAAGCGTACATATACACTATGTAGAAGCGATCTGAGCTTGTATTCAACGTTTATTAATATAAATTTTGACCTCCAAAAAGGAGTTTTGTACCTACCGAGATTGGTGGAAGTTTGATTTCGAGATACTAATTGAAGCACACAATATAAGCTATAAAAGGGAGTGTTTGTTCGCCACACTAGTCTAATTATTGTGATAGAACCTTTTCATATTGAGCAAGATGATTTATATAGATTATGATCTTGCTATATAGTTTGTTTGTTATTGCCATCTCTTTTCTAACAACATTGGAAGGATTACAGATAGTAACTAAGTTTTAGCCACATATTTCCATCAATGAATGAAAAAGATAGCAATAAGAAACAGTATCGCGATATTATTGAGCGTCCAAGTTTTAAAGACCGTTACTTATTTAAAAAAACACGTTCATATCAACACTACTACTAAAGTGCACATCAGCTTACACATAATGTATTTCTAACAACTATTTACACACAGAAGGTACATTTTAAAAGGTGTATAATCAAACTTGCCCCAATCTCAGTACATCCAAATATTACTAGCCTACCCTTACTATCTAAGTTTGTTTATAAAAAAATTGTAGTAACATTCCTACTGTTCATTTATATAAAAAAGCTAATAAAAAACACGCCATATTCAGTCGCACCCGGGACTTACACGTACTCCTTTATCGATGGATGATTAAAATTAAATCTTGAACACAATATAAAAGAGATCAACTTCGCGGTGAGTTTACTTATGATTCCCAACACTTCCACAGATGCTAGAAGGTTTAATTTGCAATGACATAATAATATCTCAAAAAATACTGCAACAAAATTGTAATAATACTTATAAATACAAAATTAAATGAATCAGTCATTATGTATGAAAGAACACAACTTATAATCCCATCACCTGTTAGTTAAAAACATTAATTTCTGTATCATAGCCTTTTTAGAACAGTTAAAAGTTAAAGTTACAAAACTAAATATTTTAAAATGGTTTTGGAATACGATGCAAGTCCCTTATCCACGGTACTTGTAATCAGAAGTGGTTCCATGTGTTTGTTTAATGGGAAATGTATTAATTATGGGGTTTTGAGATTCTATATCTAATGGCTACATGGAATGCGAAAGATGAAATGATTTATTAAAGCTGTACAATAGTATAGACCTATAATGTTATTATGGATTAAATATTAATGAATTCGCTTGAAACACTGAATTATTAAATTAAAAGGGTACATAACATATTCCTCGCCTCGATAAAGTTAACAAAAACTCTGTAACAGTAATGGTTGATTTCAAACAACTATTTAAAACATCTCGTGTATTGAAATAATGACCATAACTATCAATTTATTAGATACAACACAACATCACGTCTTTTAATTCCCAAAGGCGAGCAGAGATGCACATATACAAAATATTAAATAACACCTACTTCAAACCAGTAATGTTATTCCATTTTACACACCTAACATTAATAGGCCCTGAAAAGTTAATGAAAAGTTATACACACATGGGGAACCACTCCTGAAACGGTCACTCAGTCATCCGAATGTTCGGCAACATCCATCATCTTTCTATTGATATCAGTGGACGACACAAACTGCTTGTATGTTCATTGCGATTTACCAAAATAATATACAAAGGAGAAATTATGATTTGTATAGATAAATAAAATGATTTTAGTATGTGAATAAAGTACAGAAACGAAAAACGACTTTTTGCTAAAGAACCTATGTTAGTTGGAAAAGCAAGCAAAAAGGATGGCATTTATTAGAAAATATAGGTGAATGCCCGTATATGAGACACAATAGAAAATACATTGTCTCGCGTGGATCCACGTTTAGACACACGACGGGATAATGGGCTAAAAAATTAAAAGTATGATCTGAGCTCACCTTAGACCTCAGACTTATAAAGAAGCATGCATATAGGTATACGAACATCGATTTCAAAATAAATTACATCATAACACAATACGTAAAAACTACCCTAGACTACTAAAAGTAAAGTAATTTTTTAATAATAAATACGTATACAAAAACTACCACAATAAAGAATCAAAGAAGAGAAAATTCAAAAATTTTGTACAATATCAGGCGAAGCTGGTGTTACCCTATAAAGGGCACAAAAACCTACTAAAATTTGGTAATTTTGTGTTACCATTAACAAAAAGTGTAGAAAAAATGGTAGAATCGAAATGAACATAGAAGCAGTGTTCACAAATATTTCACATTCAACATCAACATTGTATATTTTGTTTAGCTCATACAAAATCTAGCTATACAGCTTAGACTAAGTTACAAATAGGTCGACAGTCATACGGTGCGGAACTAAGCATCCGACTAATCATACTGCTTTAATATTTAGTTCTTGATAACGAAACTTTACTGACATTTTGTTTAAAACCTTTAACATGCAACATTATTATACGTTCGAGGTTATTCATTCTGTTATTCTTATAAAAGGGGTAAGCACAAACGTACTTGTAGTATACCCACTGTTACTAGTAAAATTTTACTAATTTAAAGGATGAATTTGTCGTTTAAAAGGTCATCCAATTACCAACACCTAACCTTGTAGTCTTGAGGTCAGTGAACATGAAAATGTTATTATTTTATACAAAACGTTGGTATAATTTAACTAGCCAGTATCTGCTAAGTAGAATAAGAACCATACAATAATACCAGCAAAGTTTCGTCAACCAATGACAAAAAAATAAATAAATGAAATATAAATATTATGGTAAAAACATCGAAAATGATTACTTATGAGGTGTTGTGACAAATTTGTGTTACTTTTACAGGGAATAACTAGGTAGCATATAAAAGAAGTGTAACGCCCAAATAATGAAAGATTTCTCAAGTCCCGCTTAATTATCGTGTCATCTCTATCATTTTACGAAGAATTTGTAGGGAAAAGCTATACTTAAGAGGGAGTAGCGTTTGAGTATTTCAGTGATAGAAGGACTTGGACAATATTTATTTTGCTAACAATAGTACAGGAAGTTCAAAAACTGGAGAATTGTCAATTATACGAAATGGTAATGACATTTTGAGCAGTTAAATGAGAATGTACTGTAAACTCAATACTTTTGGGTCTTGACCTATCCTATCCTGAAACTACAGTGATCCCATGTAAAAATAACACAGGTTCTACTGAAAATAAACACATAGTCTGATGTAAGACATACACATGAATATTTTACACATACAATGCAACACGTCACACAGTTACACACCTCATTCGTAATAAAAATTTGTGCTAGTTTGGGGTACCATCATTTTGGCCGCGAATCATCATTTTGAGGTTTTTTCAAAACCATTTTTTATCAAAAGTAACTTAAAACCGTTAAAAATGCATTTAAATATGGCTTCCTATTTTTAATTTAACAAATAAATACGTAGTTTTCACTTCACATTTATGCCTTGATATTTTTTTTATTTCTTATACACCTCTTTGGACACGATTTCAATTTGGTATGATTTATACCAAAAATAATAATAATAAAATTACAATTATTAATAATAATTACATAAAATAATACGGTAATATTGTTATAACGACAGATCTATCACTAGGGGCGTGTGTAGAGTTGTAGCAAATATAAGATTTCTGAACCATTTTTTTACATAAGTGAATTCGAATTCAAAATACTCGTAACATGAAAACGAAATTAGCATGACATGGATAGTTTCGTCATACCTTAATTTTGGACTTCATGTCTTAAGAAATACGGTTTAAATTAACTTCTATAACCCTTCAAATTAAAGTTTATTGTACCAAATGTACTTTTAAGTCAATTCTTAAATTATCAAGACGAGAAATAATTCAGAAAACTTATTATTTTTCTTACGATTTCGAGTAGCGATTTGTTTTTAAATGTCATGAAAAAATAACCGTAACCTTCAGCATAAGTTAGATGAAGCTGAAGCTTTTATAGTAAACCTATCTACTAAGTATATTCTGAAATTATATTGAGATACAAAAAATGGTAGTGCTGATCGTTTGTACATACATTTGTAAAGAATTAACGTAAAAATTTATATTTTTTAATGAACAAAATATAAATTGATTAAATTAAATCAACGTTATTATGCGCATGCGTCGATTATGATAATCTTCCTTAGAATAAAACAAATGGGTACACAAAGAGGACGGGGTTTTTTAAAATAATCTTTTAAAGGTCGTCCCGAATTAGATCACACCGTTGATTGGAACAGCCCAGAGTGAATACTGGGTTCCGATAAAAGAATTGGACATTTTTCGCGGTGATCCAATATATTTTTAGCAACCTAAGAAGTTTTAATTCATCAGTGGCGCCGCTTCAATAGAACAAAAATGATGTCAATCTTTGTTTTCTTATAAGAGCAAGAATATCTAAAATCAAAGTATGTTCATAGTAACGTTTATTGAATTTCAACTTTAATTTTATTAGCATAGAAGTTATTATATGAAAATAAATACCATCATTCATTTATAGTACAGCGTTTAGATGTTTAAAACTTCGAAACACTTATACAAATCTACTGCAAAATTGTGCGTTACTTTAGCTTCATTCTTCTCCAAATAAATTCGACATCTCGTTTATTTTTATACAATAATATCTATGCTAACAAAACTTTGATAATAAAATAATATATAAATTCGTTTACAAGATAAACTTGTCCAAAATTTATAAAAAGCACCTACGGTGAGCAGTGTAGGGTTAACGTAAAATAATGTCCAATAAAAACGTAATATTAGACATGTCAATAACCTTCCACAAGTTATAACGACCATTGATCAATCATAAATCAATAATACATGTGATTGATTAATCCTTTGTATACTAATAAATGATTGATAAATCATCTGTATATTAATAAAACGATTGATCAATCGCCGTTAGCTACAAGGTATTATATATCTGTAAATTAAACGAAGAAAAAACACCAAATATACAAAATGTATACTTAAAAATTAGTCTTAAATTGTATGTATTGTTCGATAGTCCGCTGGGTGGCGGGGGAGATTGTACCATATTGAACATATGGTTATAGGCCTTAGAGTCCATGCCATTTACAAAATACAAAGACACTTTCAATACGCAAAGCATCCGTCAACGTAATGGCGTACATTCCAATGATAATATCTACAGTTAGAGCTCTTTTATATAAAGACAGAATGCCTAAACTAAAAATAAACATGAAATTTCAGTAGCCTCTCTTTTTAGTGTTTTATCAATACTGAACATCCAATAACCTTTTCATTGTCCACTTTTTACACTTTTTAAATAATAGGTAATTTAACAATAAAGCGTTGTAGTTAGAAGGCTGAAGCGCTAATCGAAACGAACTTTAAAAAAAGGCGGACATAAGTGTCTTGAAACAACGACTGTGGTGCCTATCTACTATATCCACACAGAATACACTCTCAATTCTTTGATTGGATTTCGTGTTACATTGTTCTCACACAATGAAATCAATAAAACTATGTAACTAGGGAATTGTATCGTGAACTTGATTGAAAAAGAGTAACCTATGGAGCTTCTTGCTCGTTCTTCTCCATAGGAATCTACACCTTGGAATGAGCAAGTAGATTCACTTTTAAATGTTTTGTTGACGTTTCAAAAGTGACTTCCTGGTCTAATTGAAATAAATGAGGCGAAGGACATCTGTCGCGTGACATGGCCCGCCATTACACTTCATACATTACTGTGTTGCAAGTACACGCACACATGAATACGCCACTGACATTTTGGTGCTCCAATTCCTTTCTAAGTGACATTACGCCCGCCTTTTTTTTCAAAATCCTTGGTATGGGATTGGTGTAAGCTTCCAAATGAATCATAAAACCTCTTATATTTCACCGCCATATCTCAAGAATCTTTCAAAATTAACAACTAACTGTTATAAATATGCGAAAGTGCATATCCATTCAACGAATCTTGACGCATATTTAGTTCCGAAGGACATAAGACTCTAAAAAGCTTTTAATATATATAAAAGAGCTCTATAAACTAGGCAGAGCCGGGGATAAAAGGTCATTAAATTATTCACAGGACCTTTAAAAGGCGGAATCCTAAGTGTTACCTTAGAACGGTACTAGGATTAGGGGTTTGGGAATAGGGGAGTATCGCTTAACTGTCCTCTAGCAGATTGTGTAGCTCCGCGTAGTTCAGTATGGCACGGTACAGGAACTCGTATTGTAACTGTAAAAGAAATAAGAATAAATTAATATTCAGTGTTTGTTGAGTGACTGACATAATAATTATGATTAATTATTGTTAGCTTGTTTTTTTAAAACGTTGCCCCACACTTGAATTTTTTCCTGTGTTATGCATGTGTTTGCAAATATACAAGTTTACATATGCTTGTACACTAGATCCGAAACAAGAATTTGTGGTCACACAAAGATTTGATCCGTGCGGAAATCGAACCATTACACGTTGCGCGGCAGTACCAGGAGATAAAAATTGCACATGTGACTATTGGAAAGAGATCTTCAAAGGACAGGTTATATGTTCGTATAATAATTCATTGATTGTTTTGTGATCGATGTGTGATATTCTCAGCATTTTCCATATATTTTTAAGTTCAAAATTACGGTTGTGCAATGAATATTATACTAAATTAATTAAAAATAGGTCTTCAGTTTCGAATCAGAGTGGGGTTCTTCGTTATCGTGCCGTGTCACGATAGTGGTACAGAAGTAGTGCACGTACGAAGGTGTCGATGGTCCGTGCGCGCTGCGTGCGCACTGCGCGCGCGGTGGCGCTGACGTCGACGCGGCGCTCCACGCGCAGCGCGCGGATCAGCGTGCACAGCGCCACGAACAGGGGGGACCGCTCCGTGCCCAGTCTGCGGGGGGAATATCAATTATTGTTTTGGCTTAATGACTCTGCAGTTACTTGTCTTGTGTCCTACAGTAACATAACCGGTATAAGTTACACATACTGCAAAAGTGCTTCCAACAACACGAACCTCATATTAACAATTTATTTTAAATCGATAATACTGATATCATGTTCAAGATGGACAGAAGGGAAAACTATTCGTTTACTAGTCCTCTAATTATTTCATAGCAGGATCCAAGACTATTATTTATTACTAGTATTAGTTATTCATGTTCCTGGAACGCGTAGAACTTTATTGTTTAAATGTTTTTATGATTGTATCTACTGGAGATCATGGTTGTGGCAATTATGGTAGGTTGTAGTGTCTTTACATCTATCGGACCTTCTAGCACAGGTACATTTTCGTACTTAAAAGGAGACCCCAGCGTAAAATTGATTGTAGAAGTTTTTAAGTGACTGAATGAAGATTTATTATTATTCATCCCGGCCCAACAAGATACGCACTGGCAGTGCACGAGCATGGTGGGCGCGAGCGCGGGCGCGGCGGCGTCGGCCAGCTCGGCCAGGCCGCGCGTCACCTCGGGCACGTGGCCGCGCGCCGTCGGCCAGCCCTGGTACTGCAGCTGGCGGACCACCGTCACCTCGCCGCTCTGGAACACAACGCATCATGGTTAGGTAAACGTAAACCGAGGTACATACATAGATACTGCAATTATTTATAAAAATGTATTCAAACACTTTTACTGCCGCACTACTAAAAAAAAACTGCTCACACGGAAAAGATCATTAAACACCAGGTTATTCAAGACGTTGGCTGGAGATCAGGATTATTTGATGATTGTTGGGGATTAAGGGCGATTGTGGAAGGGGGGGGGGGGGGGGGGCAATTGGGCCTCCGGTAACCTCACTCACACGACGGTTTTCTGTGAGGCCGTTATATCACACCTGTCGAGCCAGCCCATTCATGCCGAAGCATGCCTCCCCCACACTTGAAACTTTAGTTCACCATTATGTTAGTGGTATCTAAATAATCATAGGAAGCTCGGAAAGTGACATTTCGAAAAGGTCGACAATAATAAATTCCATAACTAACCTTATCATTAGTGACCCTGAACTGTCTCCTGGTGTAGTAGGGGCAGGACTCGCTCTCCTCATACTGCACCGAGATGTGTTCGTACTGGACTGTGCCGTCATCCCAGTACCGCGGACATTTGCCCTCGCCCAGCTGTAAGAAATTAACCATATAGATATATGCAATACATACATACATAATTTCACGCCTGTCTCCCTTTTTTTTAAGTGGGGAAAATTATCGAATGGCTGCTCCCGCCTGGGTGAGGCAGGAGGGAGTGTCAGACTCTTACTGACTAAAAACCACCCCGTTCCTACTCCTGCACGTCGAGCCGGAACCCCGGTAACCCGTTAGGTTCTCCGCGACGCCTTTCTCCCATAGGGGTAGGCAGAGACTATGGAATGCAAATTGCTGCGTCCAATAATGATAAACAAATGCGAAAATATTGTTTTAATTTGACGCTTATGCCTAAATATTCTATACACTAAGCAAACTTACAAAATGGCGACACTTATTATCATATTTATAAATAATAATAATAATAAATAAAATTTATTCATAATTCAAAAATGCAAAATACAAAATATGTTTCAAGTAAGTAAAATTGATCTCATAAAGTCATAAAGTTACATTTATCATTCATAACACTCAATATCTTTCTATAATATAACTCGTATGTCGCTACGAATATATAAAATTCTTCAGAGAAAATCTAGGCCGGTTTCGACGATAAATACACTAAAGTTTTTAGAACCAATTCAGCATTTCACGACTGCACGGTTGGTGCGGTGGCTGGGCAACCGGCTGCCGTGCAACGTGTCGCGGGTTCGATTCCCGCACGGAATAACACTTTGTGTTATCCACAAATTGTTGTTTTCGGTCTGGGTGTCATGTGTATGTGAACTTGTATGTTTGTAAAAAAAAAATTCTAATGTGGGGCAACGTTTTTTAAAAAAATAAATAAAAATAAATTGTCTCAATTTTCTTGTCACATACATACCATACATATAACTACACTCAGGGGCACATTTATCCGGCCACCTACAATTTTTCAGTTCTCTTAAAAATAAGTCGAATTGAAATAAATTATGTTATGATATTAAGTTACACAGATATACACGAACATAAATGAAACATGTGTAAGTTGTTAAATGGTTTATTTAGACAAAAAATAATGAATAAATGTGAAAATGGAGTTTTCGTCAAAAAATAAAAAATGCAAAAATGGATTTAAAGAAAAGTGTACCCTAAATTTACGAATTAATATGTGTATCCCTCCCCTGGCCCTAATGACTTGATGCAACCGATTTGGAAGCCCATCCATTATGTCTTGGATGTCGCTTGGGGGATGTTTTCCCATTCCTCGATCGCTGCTGCTCTTAGCTCACTGAAGGTGCTGGGAGCTGGTGTACGACCCCGGATTCGTCTTTTGAGACTGTCCCACTCATGTTCTATTGGGTTCAGGTCCGGACTTCGAGCTGGCCAAAGTAATCGCTGAATATTGACGGCATCCAAGAACTCGGTAACAAATCTCACGGTGTGTGCACGGGCATTGTCGTGCATTAAAACAATATCATTGCTATGAATGGCGCAAAAGGTACCACTTGTGGTTCTAGGACTTCTGTCACGTACCTTCGAGCATTTACACTGCCTCTTTCAAAGATTACCAGCTCTGTACGGGCGTCGTAAGATATGCCACCCCATACCACTATCGACCCTCCCTGGTATCCTACGGTTCCGACCAAAGCACATTCAGCAAACCTTTCCGCGGCAATCTATACACGCGCTGGCGTCCATCAGGATCTCGTAGAGAGATTCTTGACTCATCAGAGAGAGAACCATCTTTCATTGTTCCGAAGTCCAATTTGCATGTTCTTGGGCAAATCTTAGTCTCGCTCTTCTGTGCGCTGCAGTCAATTCTGGGACTCGAGCTGGTCGAAATGCTTCAGGTACCGCTCTACTAACCTTCTTCTTATTGTTCGTAGACTTACACTCACATTACGAACTTCAAACAATCGCCTACGAGCCTCAGAAGCTGTTGTAACCGATTTCGCAGAACATTCGAGACGATTTATCGATCATCCCTCTCCGATGTACACCGTGTACGACCTTTGTACTGGCCTTCTGGTATAGGAACCAGTCTTTCTGTAACGCCGGATGGGATCTTGGATAGTGGTTCGAGGATACCCAGGCATCCGTCCAATTCTACGCTGGCTGAACCCAGCGTCTGCAAGTCCCACAGCCCTAGCTGCACTAGCCGCATCCAATGGCATTTTTTTGGTTTTAATTTAATCACGGCACCCTAACAACTTGTTTTAATCAAATAATGGTACGAGAAAGTCGTAAACAATGTATCCGTCACTCAAAACTGTATAGCCTGGATGTCAAAATGCGACTAAACTGATTATTGTTGAAATTAGAACCACAAAAGTAAACAAACCGAGTGTAGGATTGTTTTATTTAATGCAGATATGCCCACCATCAAGTTACGCCGAGTAATCAAATCGTAAGTTAAAATAAACAAACGATATCGCTCAATATATTAGTGGACGGTTAAATGTGCCCCTGAGTGTATTTTAAAATCCTCAATATAAATAAGTACACACCTCACTAAGCATCACAATAGTGGTGACATTGTGTTCGGAGACCATCCGCCAGAAGTCCATGATCGTGTTCGGTAGAGGATCCTGCGTTATTATGAAACCTTCCGAGTTGTCGTATGCTGGGAAAATAAATACAAATCATATTGAATGGCTAGCATATATAGAAATTAATAAATAGCACGCAATAAACATGATCACACTGCAAAACTTATTTTGGCAAGTTACATTAAAAAAAAAACAATTTATTTACACAGGTAAACTTATTATAATTGACACAGGACGAACGGTGTTAGAAATCGAAAGTAATTTCTAATTAAATTGTCACTGTTAAACTTTCTGTTCACATGCTAATAATAATAAGGTTGAAAATACTTCGTTGTTAATAACTTATTATGTATTTACCTTCAATAAACGAAGCATTGATATAAGTAGAGAAGTCCCTGCCAGGTATAGGAGTGAGTATGACCCTGTTCCTGTCGTACGGCAGACACTCGGGGCTTCGGTTGCGCGCGCGCAGCTCCTCGCCTGCGCCGGCGCCCATTGACTTCAGAGGTTCAGCTACTGGACTGTTCAGCATTTTCTACAGAAGTCGAAGAATTAAAAAATTAAACATGAATTAATTTATTGCTCCTCGGTATAAATCAAATAGAGTTAACTAATGACCTTATCACAAATGTTAGAACATGGTGTAGTTCCGTTAATCTATACATACAATGAAATCGTAGGAAAGTGAAAACTGCACATCGAATATTTTTTAAAAGAATGCTTGGGGCGTATTTCACTTCCGATACCGAAAAAATTTGTCTGTATGTATATCCGGGATGAACTCTGAAAAAATGTTCTGCGAAAATGCTGCATGGATTTACTTCCAATTTTGGTATAATCCGACCTGTTAGTAATATTCATCATTACTAACAGGTCGGATTATACATATAGGCTACATATTATCGTGCTATCAACCTACGGGGGAGGAGCTGTGAATGTATAGAACTTGGTATCTTTAGACTAGAATAACACATAAGTTTTCGGTGCTGATGTCTGAATTACTACTGAAATCAAGTCACAAACTGTATATTACCATATCCCACACTATCTCAAATTCGTAATAATATAAAAGTTGTTATACTGACCTCAAATTCGACCTCCATGAGACATTTATCAGCATGGTCTGGAGTATTGCGCAGTCTGTCCACGGCGGGCTTGAGGCGGGAGGCGGGGATCTCTGTGTCGCCGTAGTGAGCGTACTCCACTAACGCGCGGTATACGAATACGTATTGTTTCTGTGTAAAAGAAGAAAAGTGTTAAAGATATGATTAATGATTATACATACAACAAAAACAGCTTTTGTTCCATTGGGAGTAGGCAGAACTACAGTGCCACCTAATACGACTTTAAAGTTATTCTTTAGATTCAATTACATTCATACATACACGCCAGTTAATACTTTAACTGCCAAGTTTAAAATGGTGAAAGTCAAACCTCCACTAGCGTCAGGCACCGGTGACTGACGTGGCGCTCTAAGGGTTAAGGGCACTGTACAAGATTTTTTCTAATACCTCTCCTAAAAATATGGTTCATATTAAAGCTGTATTATTTAATCAGTTAGCATCAAATCTATAATTACTAAAATAGTGTACTCAAAGTTGAAAATCCAATAATTTTTATTGTGTGATTCACGGCGCAATAAACCGTGTGATGACGGCAGAGAGAGAGTAAATTAGATTTTTCAATAACCCTCTTGCCGCGGGTTTTTTACATAGGAAGTTTATAAAATCCAGCAGTAGATGTGTGTGTGTGTGTGTGTGTGTGTGTGTGTGTGTGTGTGTGTGTGTGTGTGTCTGTGGACATTGAATAATACCCAAAATACATTTCTATTCTCAATCACAACTCACTGCCGACCACCGGGTTGCAAGTGCGACTGCCGGGCAAGGGTACTCAGGTTCGATGCCCGGGTCGGGCAAAGTATTACTCGGTTTTTAAAAAAAATCTAAGTAATAGCACGTAGTTTGGAAATGCGCCCGGTATATGGCAATAGGCTCACCCCTATTACATGGGACTCAGAGCAGAAAATTGTGAAAAGTTGGTGTTACATTACATAGTACATTGGCATTGAGTGTCATAATGTGTACCTCTGACTGCCTCTTCGGGGATGAAAGGCGTGAAGTTATGTTTAGTTGTAACAACTCACCAGCGACTGCACCAAGAAGTTCCTCTGCCTCCTGAGTTCGGCGACAGTATTAAAGACGGAGACTTGTCCAGTGGCCCGCAGCTGTTCCAGTAGACAGTCCAGCGCCACCAGTGTCCCGGTGCGACCCACGCCCGCACTGCAGTGGACCACCACTGGCCGACCCACCATACTCGTCCAGGCTTCGTTTACTCTCTGGGAGAAGTATTTTATTAGTATTAGCGACTTAATTTTACAGAAGTCTGGCAATTAGAATATATTTACTGTCATCTAAAAATAAAGATCGGATGCTTAGTTAAAAAAATGGTTGAAATACAACTTCTCTCCGAAACATTTAATCATTAATGTATCTTTTTGCTCACATTAATGTCATTATGTAGCCATGTCAAAAACACCCTATGGGACAAAAAAAATAGAGTTTATGCGTAAGGCAGCAGCTTCATTAGCGTTTTCTGAAAGTGAAGTTTATTCTGAAGAGGAACAAACTTCCTCATTAATAACATTAGTAAGAAGTTGAATTATGTATAGAATTTTCACGAATATTCCAGTTATGCTCACCTTAATAAACTTGAGTATGGAATGTGGATGCTCTGGCGCCGCGAAGTCCTTCCACATGAGGAAGTGGTACTGGCGCACGATGCGATACTCGCCGCTCTCCTTCACCTCGCGAGGGGATGTCGGAGCACTGGATTCGGACGCTTCTTTTATGTCTGAAATAGACGATATATTGTTAGTTTTTATTAACACGTTAACCGCCGCGTAGGTCACCGGTGACCTACGTTAGCGGAGGATTTGCCTTCAGCAGTTTTCTGTTGGCAGTCAAAGGCTTAAATATTTACTAATACCTGGGTAACAGAGCTTTGCTCGGTGGGGTGTTTTTAGTAAACGACATTTTCTGAAAATGAAATTTAGCTAGATCGATTTTTCGCTCGCGAAACCTCTTAGTTACAAAATTTCAAGAAAATCGCTGGAATTGTTTCCGAATTTGTTGATAGTTGAATAATTGCTCGTTTAAAGGTAGATTTGCCTCGAAAAACAATAAATATTGTGATTTTCAGATAAGCCGTTTGAAAGCAATCAACATCGAGCTGCTCCCGGCGACCTTAATCAGGTCATCTGTGCACCTTGCCGATCTAAAAGTCATTAAGGAAGACTTATGTTCAGTAATGACTAATGAGTGGCTTGTGGCTGACATAATAAAGATTATTTAATCAACATTTTAAAACGTTACCTCCATTCCTCTTCGCAATGCCATTGTTTTCAACGATTGGCTGTCCATCAGCCGTGACTGGCTGCTTGGTGATCTTCAGTTCTCGTACGATGTAGTCCGAATATCTATAAATAACATGTTGACATTTACTTTAATACGAGCTTTTGAAATTAACGTAATGTTAGTGGCATGTAAGTCAATCCATGATCCATCTACAAACACTTTATCTTTGACAACAATTCAAATTCTAATTTTCTGTTTCTTATGTCAGTTGCGTGAAAAGATCTTGATGTATATCGTAAACTTGGTCGATAACCTGTTTACACAATATACAGAAAAAATACATAACATCACGCCTTTTATCCCCGAAGGGGTAGGCAGAGGTGTACATTATGTTACTGTACAATGTAACACCCACTTCTCACTATTTATGTTATGAGTCTGATGTAATTATAAAATCAGAAAAATAATATTTAAAAAACAATCAAAATAGTGCGTAAAAATAAATCTATTTCCTTTTTTAAAAAAAAAACGTCCCACACTAGTGTTTTCTCCTGTGTCGCGTGTGCGTTTACAAACATACAAGTTTACATACACATGACACCTAGACCAGAAATAACAATCAGTGTATGCCACAAACAGTTGTTCCGTGCGGGAATAGAACCCGCGGCACGTTTCGCGGCAGTCAGTTGCCCAACCAACGCGCCAACCGTGCAGTCAATAAATCAGGCAAAAATATGCATGGAAAATACGACTTTCTTTCTTAAAATAGTTTTCTAACAACTATAAACTTAAAAAAAAACACTAACCTCTTTTCACCAATATGATGCACGGTGATGCCTCCAAAAGCTCTGGAGGATCTCTCCTCAGGCCAGTATTTGGAGCACTTGACCTTGGAGTACTCCTCAAGGTTGGTCAGCATCACGATCAGCTCCAAACCATGTTCCCAGATCATGCGCCAGAAGTCATTCACTGTGGTGTCCGTTGGACCTTGGGCGCAGATGAACTGTTTGCGTTCCTGGTAACATTTAAATAGTAAAAGTTAGTGTTAAAGTTTAAATTCTGTTTATTTGTAAGCACACATACGTATTATGAAGATAATCTTTCACGTGAGACAACATTTATATTATAATATATGTATAATATAGGATAGTAGGACGCCTTGGAATGAGTAACTAGCTTCAAATCAAAATTTTTGTTGTTGACGTTCAAAAGTGACTTTGGCGTATGACGTTTATTTGTACGATATTGTAACGATTTTAGATTATTTATCGTTTAACAGAACACGGGATAACAACGTTATAAGTACCTATCATCCAAAGAAAATAATGAGAGACTGTCTTTTTACTTATTATAAAGTAGGCAGTAAACTTAATATCAACTTAAATGAATAATTAAGTACAAGAATGTGCGTTATACAGCCACGGCACGCATGCAAAACTTAATAAATCACTTGAAGCACAAAAATAGAATAAATTACATGTTGTAAATTTGGTTTATATGAATTATATTACAAGCGAGTGCTACAGATAGTTGACAAATAGTGCATTATAATAATAATAACAAGGAAAACACAACACATAAACGGACAGAAAGCTTTGTACATTAATAAATTGATTTCACATTGTCATGGCTTCGAAACTAGTCGAGCTCCTCGTCAAACAGTTACGTTTGTAAGCCGAAAACATAATAATATCAAATTATATTATACTAGCGACCCGCCCCGGCTTTGCACGTTTGCAATATGTACTCATAACCCTTTCTTAAGAATCACCTTATCTATTTAAAAAAACCGCATCAAAATCCGTTGCGTAGTTTTAAAGATCTAAGCGTACATAAAGACAGACAGACGGCGGTTAGCGACTTTGTTTTATACTATGTAGCGATTAACAGGTTACATGTCATACTGTCATATTCTTTGTATGACAGTAGGTAGGGGTAATATTACAATAAGTTATCATTGATAGTGTACCAATTTATTTATAAGTTGTATCCATTCGGATATTCAGTGTATATTCATCCGAATATCCCCATATAGTATGATTTAAAGTATCTTTTACTACCTAGGAGGTAGACACAGGTGCACACTGCACATGTTAGAATTAACATCAGTCTCGTGCAATGGAGACCAAGCCTATGGCTACAAGTATACCGAGCATTATTTCAGACTCCGACTGACAAAAATTTTAGTAAATTCGTGAATAAACAATGTTAAAGTTAAACAATGACGTTATTAGTTGGTAGTTTTAACAATAAAATTAGCGAACTTTTTTTTCTTCTTTGGCAACAGTCTCCAAATCGGTGTTATCGACTATACTGCCAGTGTCGAGTGGTGACGGCAAAATTAATGAACCGACGAACTTTGCAGTAGTTTTTAGTTGTTAGTATCTGAAAGTATGGTTTACTAAATGTGAAATCAATTTATTACGCAGTAGGTATGCGGTACCTGTTCAGGCTCCGAAGGGTCCTTAGAAAGCGGAGGACAGAAGACAGAACTTTAGAACATGTTCACACGCCACACGGAAGGAACATTTGTGAATAACTAATTCTAATAGGTATAACTATGTGTATGTTAATTAAATAATAGGTTTTGAAAAGCTGCTCAGGGTAAATTATCTTTTTTTATGGGATAAGCCGGTAAACGAGCTGACGGATCACGTAATGGTAAGCAATCGGCGTCGCCCATGGCCACCTGGAACGTCATAGGCGTTACAAGTGTGTTACCGGCATTTTGTGGATTAGGAGTTTGAGGATTGTTGGGGATTCAGGGATTGGGGAAGGAGTCTGAGGGGGGGGGGGTAATTGGGCCTCCGGTAACCTCACTCACACGACGAAACCCAACGCTAGCGTTGCTTCACGTCAATTATCTGCTCGATCAATGTTATATTGACGGTACTGCACTCAATATCCATCTGATAACTAGTGTTACGAAATTTTGGACATGTATTTTGTCTGTTATTGTTGAATGAGAACGATAATACATTAATTTGACGGTTGGTGCGGTGGTTGAGCAACTGACTGCCGCGCAACGTGTCGTGGGTCCAATTCCCGCATGGGGCAACTCTTTGTGTGATCCACAAATTGTTGTTTCGGTTCTGGTTATGATGTTTATGTGAATTTGTATATTTGTAAACGCATCCACGACACAAGAGCAAGTCCTAGTGTAGTGCAATGTTTTTTTTAAAAGAAAAGAAGAGAAAGAAAAGAAAATGAATGAGTCAGCTTTTTAAAAACTAAAAATTTGTGTAGAGGGAAGTAACAAACAGCTTAAGAGATAAAAGCAGATAAAATTACGACCTACAACCTAACAAGGGAATGTCTTGATATTTTTTCTCAAGTGGTAACATTTGCACAGGCGATGATAGCATTCACGTTACAAACTCATTTCTTCAAACATCACATGCCTGCTTATCTTTTACTACTAGCCTCGTCAAACCGTTTTACAAGAATGTGATGACAAACTTACCTTTGATTTTAAAAATGTCTAGTGTTTAATAGTATTTTCTAATGTTCCAATAAGTCTTTAATAATAAGAATAATTTGAATTCGACCACGCAATTTTCTTTTTTATTTTTGCTAGCAGTAAACATACTGAACATGTTAAAAGTCGGATGAAATCAAAATTTTAGTTCTCACCTGGTATCCCATAACGTAGTTCGCATTGATATAATCGGATCCGGTGATACCATCAATCTGAGACAGTTTTACCCGGGTCTGGTCATAAGCCTTAATGTCCGGGTATCGATTCTTGGGCTGGTTCTCTCTAGCTTCCGAAGCGTGTGTGGTGCGGTCCGGGAAGCACTCTGGTAGCATCTGCAACAACTTGGCAATTTGTGACGATATGTTAGGATTAATTGGAAATGATGCATGAGGTGATACATGAGTAGAAAAAGAAATATAGATTAAAAAGAATGACAAATACTGAAGAAAATAAACATGTTTACGACCGTCACATTGTGTAAAATATAAAAAATCAGTTTTTAACCTCTCGCGCGCCTCTCGTACACACGGGTAAATATTTTAATAGAAAAGCGAATTAACTATTCTGTTCAATGAAATAAAGAACGGGTTGCAAACTTGAAAATATACGTCAAAGAAAAAATATCCAATCGGTGCGCGTTTCTCTTACACCCGTGTGTACAATTGCGCGATGACGACTCAATTCTCTCGTACACCCGTGTGTACGAGAAACATGTGAGAGGATAAAGAAAATTATACTGTGATGTCAGAAACTCTAATACTCCTTTTTTCTGAAAATAGTTCAATTTCTTTTTTATAGTTAGGTACACAGATTTCGTAAAAACTAGAAAACAAAACAGACCAACAGAATGATGATGGATCTAAACTCTAATGAATTGAAGGTATGGTATGACATGAAGCCACATGAAGTCTAGTTTAACAATATTAACTTATTCATTTAAAAAAATCATATATCTATATATATAAAAGAAAGTCGTGTTAGTTACACCACTTATAACTCAAGAACGGCAGAATAGATTTGGCTGAAAATTGGTAGGGAGGTAGCTTAGAGCCAGGAGACCGACATAGGATACTTTTTAACCAACCTTTTTTTTCCGAAAATCACGAACGGGGACGGGAAAAAATGGGATGGTACGCGTACGAAGTCGCGGGCAGAAGCTAGTATATATATAAATGAAACCCGTTACCCGTTGTCACGTCATAACTGGAGAAAGGCTAGACCGATTTGGCTGATCTTTTTTTTGTTGTATTTGTTATTTTCAGGAGAAGGTTCTTACGACAGAATTTGGAACGGGAGAAACGGGACTGCACGGTTGGTGCGGTGGCTGGCAACTGCTGCCGTGCAACGTGTCTCGGGTTCGATTCCCGCACGGAACAACACTTTGTGTGATCCACAAATTGTTGTTTCGGGTCTGGGTGTGTGAATGTGTATGTGAACTTGTATGTTTGTAAACGCACCCACGATACAGGAGAAAATCCTAGTGTGGGGCAACGTTTTTTTAAATAAAAAAAAAAAAAACGGGATTGCGCGAGCGAAGTCGCGGGCAGAAGCTAGTTCATAAATATTAAAGAAGTAAGGTTTACTGTGGGTTTTATTCAGACTTTAAAACATATACAATAATAGTAACTTACTTCAAACTCCTTCTGGAATCCGTAGTCGGAGTCAACCTGTCGCTGAGCGTACGCAGCGGCCAGCTCGTCCTTGGGTATGGGAGGTATATCGGGCGGGACCGTCGACACCAAGGGCTGGCGGCCGCGGATACTGTCCCAGTATCTAGATGGCAAAAGATAATATAATTATTACTAGCGGATCCAACAGACGTTGTCCTGCATATCCAGTTGAATGTATAAACAAAAATTCATTCAAATTAAGCCGTTTAGGATAAAAAACCTAAACATCGACTGCAGCGCCATCTGCCGGGCTGATTTGTAAATCTAAACCATTCCCAGATCCCCTTGAACACACACAAAAAATTTCATCGAAATCGGTCCAGTCGTTTGAGAGAAGTTGACAGTGGCATACACACTCACAGAAGAATTATATATATAAAGATTTGTTTGTTGGGTTCATAACAACTTAAACATAAGCCTCACTAAGATTTTCTACAGTGTTGTAGGTGCTTTTAGCTTGGATAAACATATAAATTCACACACATAGGCTTAATTATCGCTTACCGTCAGCCGAGGTCGATTATAGCGACGGCTCATTGTGAATTAATAAAAAGTGACACCCAGCTTCGGAACAACGATTTGTAGAATACATTTGACACCATTCTAAATTCTATTTTAATACAGAACACAATCCCCAGTCCCCAATTCGCAAAGTTCCAAAACGCCGGCGGCACTTGTAACTTACCTAAAGTTGCGAGTGTACACACGGCAACACATCGAGCTTTACGTATCCAGTATAAACTGAACGTTACATGTGCGGAAAGATGATGCGACCCGACACCAGGATAAACTGGTTTTGTATAGATTGATGTGTACATGGGCGGCGCTAATTGTTTACCATCTGGTAATCAGTGCGAAATATTTAATATTATTTTGCCCAACTCTTATAATTTAGATATGGAAGCTAAAGATTGCCTCGGTGGCCGAGTGGTCGCAAGTACGACTAAAGTAAGGTAAGTAAGTAAGGGGTTTTGGGTTCGATTCCCGGGTCGGGCAAAGTATTACTGTTTATTTTTTTTAATCACATTAGTAGCACGGAGTTTGTAATTGTGCCCGGTATATGGCTATTGCCATATACATAGGACTCATTTCATAAATAGTGAAAAGTGGGTGGAACATTGTACAGTGGCATTAAGTGCCATAATGTGCATCGCTGACTACCCCTTCGGGGATAAAACGCGTGATGTTATGTTATAAGAAGATAGAAGTACGTACCTAAGTGCATAGGAGAAGGGATTGTCAATCTGTACGTGCGCAGGCATCTTGCGCGTGCGCCGCGTCTGCATGATGCAGAATACTATCATCAGGAGCAGAATCACTGCCGCCACTGCACAGGTGATCTGAAAATAATAAGTATAATATTGTGTTAATTAAAAATCTCACTTGTTACTCACATGAATATACTGAGAAAAGCTCTACCAGTTTCGAACTACAGAGGGGTTCTACCTCATGTGCAGCGTACGCGGTCGTGGCGATGTCGCGCAGCCTACCCGCGATTATTAGTTAATTTCGTATGTCTCACGATTTATTATAAACAAAACATAATATTGTGTGTTATATTTTATTATCTTTCAAAGGTAATTTAAAATATCTTGCAGTAATCAATTTGTTAATTACTAACGGCCGGAATTAGTAACCGATTTTAATCCAAAATTCTAGCTCAAAGTTCACTCTTGACAGAAACTCCACACGTAACCTTTATTTGAAATTGACAAGTAGGAACCATTAAATTAAACTCTAAAGTAATACAAATAAGGTATACAACAAGTTACCTGTAAAGCGATCTCGAGTGCAGTGGAGGGGACGGGCACTGGGGGACTGGCGGCCGGCATCAGTAGCGACGTGTACTCACTGAACAACGCCTCGTCCGGGTCTGAACTCGCTGTGCAAAATAAAATAAGATCATACTTCAGTAATTTGATAGTTCTATCTGGAATGTTTTCCGGGAGTTTTGAAAATCGACAATTTTGTACATTTTAATTTCTATTTTACACCTTTGTGCGCCGCTCGCGCCGCCATCTCGGAAAAATGACGACAAAAACGCTTTTTTACAATATCTCTTTTCTTGTGCATTTTACGAGAAAATCAACTACAAAATGAAACTACTCACAATTTTCTACAATTTATGTCTCGACAGCTTTTTTCTAACATAAGTAGTTTTGAAGCTAGAGCACCGCAAAGTACATTTTTATCAGCATTTAGGGTGCCTTCTTGAAGGTTTGAAGGTCGTATCGGTTCGGAAATACCGACGACGACAGATCATTCCACAGTTTCGCTCTGCGAGGCAGAGAGTTTCAGGAAAAGCGCACAAATATGGTTGTGTAGATGGCAAGTTAAGCAAGAAGACGTAGGTAAAGATGGACATAATTAATCTGTCAAACACCAAGCGGTCACCGGTGACCGCGACCTATTGTTCTTTAATTGTGTCTATAAAACCGGTACTCGACGAGTTAATCTATTTAATGTAACATTATCCACTTTTTACCGGCTAATTAAGAGACGATTTTATTGTTTTACACCAAATACAACTTAGTGTTATAACTAAGAATTTTCTGAATATCGAAAAATACTCAATAAAACTCAGAAATTGAACCCGAATCTCCTTGTTCGGCAGTTAAGTTTGCGCCCGCAACCATCAACGATGCACTTGATGATTTTCCCATACTACATTTTAATATAGACGTATAAACTTACATATTAGTTCCACAAAGAGCGTATAGTTGGCGGTGGGATCGAGAGGGCCGTCTCTCACTCTGATTTCAGAATCATCTTCTTGTTTGTTCAACATTGTAGGATTGTTGCTGAAATCGCTGAAACCAATACACAAATATTAAAAAGTGTTTAAACCACTGATTAGATTTTGATTAAATTAAACTGAAGCTTAATGTAGGTGATAAATTAAATGCTTGTTCACATAGTCAAGCGCACAGGAAACTTTGATGCGCAAATTTAGCGCAAGTTAAAGCAGTGCATGCGCAACTTTGCGCAAGGTTGCAAGGTTTATGTAATAGAAGGCGAGCTTATTATCATACACTTTAAGACTCGTACAGATCAATATCACGTACAGGGTATCCAAGCTACGTCATTTAGCTCAGCCCCTTCAAACTACAACAATAAACGGTATTTAAGTTATTTAAAAAACCACAAAAGTAACAAAAAACAAACATACATATTATCAGGAGACCGTCTAGATAATCTGTCGGAATTATCTCGTTCAATCGGATCATCAGTGCCTGTAGCAAAATCTATCAAAGCATCCTCAAAATCATCCAAAGTGGTTGTGGTGATGGGTGCTGGGGTTGGTTCATGATGGACTCTCTTCGGCCTCTTCAGACAGCGGCGACATCTATCTTGATTTAGTGTAGGATCTGTTTGCTTGTCAAAGACTACTTTGTCATCACCTAACACCAATTCTATGTTGTCCTTTGTGAATTTGTCACTGTAAAAGTAAATTGAAACCACATAAGTATTTATCACATGTTTAGCAATAATACACCTTAATTCAATGACATAAGTCAGTCTTTTATTGAAAACTCAACATAATGAATAGGTAGACTGTAAACATTCCCTTTGGAATACATACTAATTACAACCTTAACATCTTAAACATACGGTATATTATTAGCTAACTTACTTTGAGAAAACATCAGCAACATAAGCGCCTAACTTAGTTTGTGAATCCTTATATTCGAGTACGTCAATGTCCCGTGGAGAAGGCAATCTCTTCCAGTCTATGTTCCCTGCAGGTAGACGTACCATGTACACTCTGTAAAAGTAAAAAACAAACTTAGAAGATTATGTTCAATAACTTAAAGTATGCGCAAAAGTTGCGCAAGTATTAGCATGTTAACGCAACTTTTGCGCAGGTGCTTACATTTTTATCACGTTTACTAATTCAAGTGGTTACCAAGTTCATTTAAATGTTTAAAATATAATGAATAGTAATAAGAATTATTGTTACAGTAAATATTTAGAAATATGAACTTACCTATAACAACAGATGGGTCCATTTCGTTCCGACATCCTTGGCAAATACATTTTGAACATGTATGTGCCATTTTCTAGGATCTACAAAAAATAAACAACAACATTTATAACCATAATCATCATCAGCCCATATTCGTCCACTGCTGGACATTTATAATATTAAAATGTAATTCATTTTTTCATTTCATTCATTTTTTCATTCAAGTTATCAAATTGTAATCCCAACTCAATTCAAGTTAAATGTAAGTAAAGGAATTAAAAATAAAAAAAGTATTAAACATCAGAGAATATCTGTCAAACACCAAGCGGTCACCGGTGACCGCGACCTATTGTTCTTTAATTGTGTCTATAAAACCGGTACTCGACGAGTTAACTATTTACTGACACAATTTACAATATTATTTAATTCAATTAATTGTAAATTAAATTATTGTATTAATTAAATTAATTGTAAATTATATTGGTGATAATATTACCTTCCGCCATCTTGGCCGCGGTGGTGAATCAGGTGGGGCTGGCAGGGTGTGGCAAAACGTGACATTCTCCTCGCCACGACGGCGCGTGCGTGTCACAGCACTCAGGCGGATCATGAAGCGAGTGTTAGGAGGGAGGTCGTTCACTCTAAAATCAAAATAAACCAAAAAGACGCTTTTAGTTTATAGGTCCACGTCATTGGGCGAAATTGACATTATTATATGTATAAGTATAACTAGCGACCCGGCCCGGCTTCGCACGGGTGCAATATGCATATATTATACATATAAACCTTCCTTAAAAATCTCTATATCTACTAAAAAAAAACCGCATCAAAATCCGTTGCGTAGTTTTAAAGATCTAAGCATACATAGGGACAGACAGACGGCGGATAGCGACTTTATACTAAGAGTAATAATGAAGAGTAGTGATGAGTGTCAACTTGTTTTCTAATACCGAATTAGATTACTGGAGTGAGGTTACCAGTGTGAGGATACCGGTGGCCTAATCCTTAAGTTTTATAAATATCCTTAATTGATAAAGTGACGGTAATTACGAGCCCTAATCCCATAACACAAACAACTGTCTTATGGGCAGAGGTTAAAACTATCGAGCAAAATTCCTACTTATATTTTTAACAAATTATTTTCTTTCGTTATGATCTTATTATAAAGTTAATGTTAAATCTGTAACCATAATGAATAATAACAACTTACCCAGTGTTATTTGTGACATTAGTCATGAATTTGGACAGCGGCCCCCACGTAGCTACTCTCTCAACACCAAAACGGTCCTTATAAGTCATGTTACCAGTTATTTCCATCTGAAAATTGAGGAAAAATAATTAAATATAAACGCCTTTTATCCCCGAATGAGTAGGCAGAGGTGTATATTACGGCACTTAATGCCACTGTACAATGTGTAACACCCAATTTTCACTATTTATGTTATAAGTCTCATGTAATAGGGGGTGAGCCTATTGCCATATACCGGCACAATTCCAGGCTCCTTACTACTACTGTGATAATATTATATTAATACATTGCCCGATCAGGTTCGATTCCCTGATTATAAGTTTGTAATCGCCAAGCCGCATTAAGCAACCGTGGTGATTAATGCTCAAACCTTCTGCGTGTGAGAAGAGGCTTTGCTCAGCAGTGGGCCCATATAGGCTGTTGATGATGATGATGATGATGATGATGATGATGATAACCTGGCTGTCTTCAAGGCCCGAGTGAATAGGTTGCTTATGGGACGACGTGCTTTATCGTAGACCGCATCATCGCTTACCACCAGAAAGAGTGGTCAAACGTCGGTCCATCAAATATACAATAAAAATGTACTTACAGTGTACCCTTTGATTTCAGCATTAGGTTTAACAGGGGCACTCCAAGTGAGGTTAAGGAAGTCCACACTGCACTTCGCCACAACATTACTTGGTACTCCAGGCACTCCGTCAAGAGTAGCAGCTTCCATCTTTTCAGACCAGTTGCCGCAGGAGTTCGAGTAATCCGAACAAGCTTGTACCTAGAAAATGTACAATTACAGATTTAGTATTCAACTTTATAATGAAAATTGAACACCTCTGCAAGATTTGCATTTTCAGTAAAAAAATGCCGACTTTTGTCATGTCCAACTATTGGATTGATTCGAAGAATTATCAGTAGAGGAAAAAGTTGATTTGTACTTAATTGATGGTTGCTTAGTATAAATAGAATAAGAGATATATTATAAAGAGAATAAGAGATACGTGTAAACCGAATTACCTTAAACACATAAGTGCTGTGTGGCTCCAAATTGTCGAACATATACGGTAGATTCTTCCCATTACGTTCATGACAGGCTCGCAAATTAATTGTGCTATTATCCTTCTTCTGAGCTTCTAGTATGTAGTAATGTATTAAATCAGTAATATTATCCGGCGGTGGGACCCATCCAATGGTCACTGATGTCGCCGAGAACCCGTTGATAGATATTTTGGGTGTGAAAGTCGGATCTGTTCCCAACGTGGTGACATTATGGTAGCTACTCTCAGGACTGTCCCGGTTGCTCTCACCGTATTCAGTCACCACTTGCATCTTGAAGGTGTATGTAGTATCTTTTTCAAGGCCACCCAAGAGAAAAGACGTGTTCTGCGCATCAATTTTCGGCGGGACTGTGTAGTGTCGGAAACCTGTTGTCTCGTTCTTCTTATTAAGGTACATCAGTCGGTATTCTTTGATAGGCGAGTTGTATGCATAGACAGTCCAGTTGATGTAGACATGTGTTGTATTTATAGGAATGACATTTTCAATTTTAATTTGCGGCCTCGCTGTGATAAGTACGTCTATCTTTCCTGACACGGTGGTCGAGGAGACGAGGTCGTCTAACCCACACACGTAGGTCCCATTGTCTTCAATACCGTAGATGTGGAGTACGTAGGTACTCTTTATCAGGTCGCCTCCTATCCTTCTTGTGTTGTTTGATTCCGAGAGTAATTTTATGTTATCTTTCGTTCCCGTCCACCATTTCACTTCGCCAGGATTGTAGGCTGATAACAAGATAATGTTTCATTGATTTGTGTTTATTTTCAACATGACAAACTCACAGAATGTAAAAAAAACTAATCACACCAGTGGCGCCATCTAGCGCAAGCAAAATAAGTTTAAAGAACTAACCTTCAAAAACGCATTCCAAGGTAATGTTGGCGTGATTGGTGACATTCTCCCTGACGGGACTAGTTGTGGTGTTGACCAGTCGAGCTGGGAAGCTTAGGTCTAAGTTGGCCACCTTGGAGTCTTCAGCACTACCAACTTTAGCAACGCAGGTGTAGTTGCCAGCATCTTCTGACTGCGTATCTTTTATTGTCAATGTGGATAGAGTATATCGTTCACCTTCTGTTGAATCTTTTTTGCTGGTGGTAGCATTCGTTCTGTAATCGTAAACATATAAAAAGTCAATAAAGAATTGATTCTGAGGGCTTACTACGAGTTTCTGTTTCGTTTAAAGTAATGGAAACGAGACGGCGTCCGGCGCTCTGATTGGTTGGTTCATTGGAGCCGGCCAATCACAGCGCCGAACGCGAACTCGTTAATAGCCGATGTCGATCAATACAATTCCGAGTGTACTGGGTGTTTTTTGTGCAGTACATCTAGCCGTTATGTGTTACAGGAGTGTCGGTGCCAGCGTTAGGATGCGCCGAAGAACAGCTCCCGCGTAATATAAGCTAGGGTCATGATTGCTTGTAGGTACAGAACTTTAACAGGAAAGACAATCAGTTAAGTCGCGGTTTATACTGTTCAAAATGAGCCGCTGAACTAGTCCAGGACTCTCTTGGAATCATTTAAAAATTTAAAAATGACAACCTGCTTCTTTTTTTGAAGTCGGTTGAAAAAAAATTGCACAAATAAATAATAAATGATGCTACACAAAATGGACTCTTTCCAGTACTGTAAGTTACTTACCTATTGTTAGGTACTAAGGGTTTAGCCTGGAACAGCCAAGAAATTACAGCCGACTCCGGGGCAACAGTACAGGTAACTTCGGATGTATTGCGCAAATGCCCTTTCCATGTCGTTAAATCAAGTATCTTCACTTCATCTTGAGCTGTAATTTAAAGGAACCACTATTGAGTTTATGAAAGCATATTTTATTTAGGAGCATTTATATTAAGATTGATTTGGCTGAAATCCTAATTGAGGGTGACTAGGGTGCAGTGTAGGGCGTAGTTAACTACTATTTTGTGATCTGATTAATAACTACGATTAAAAGTAATTAACTACATGTAGTTATGATTACATGTAGTTAGTTGTCTGTAACTTATTGAAGTAGTTATTAATTTGATTACTAGTATTTACTACTACTAACTAGTACCACTAACTAGTAGTTATTACTACTAGATTTCCAAAATATTAGACTAAAAAGACAAATAATTATATCTAATATTTTGTTGTTGTAAATGTTTCGGGATCTGACAGCATAAAAAATCTTAAGTTTAATTCACAAATCCTTATTTAATTTAACACACGTAATAATATAATATTTTAACTGCGTCTGTGACGGGCTTCAGCTTTTTTTTATAAAATGCAATATAATTTTAAATGTGTAGTTATAAAAAGTAATCTTGTAATCGTGTTTATAACTACTCTACTACTACTACTACGATTTTAACGGGAATATATAGCCATTTGGGTGTTGTTAAAGTATTTCAAGTACTTGAAATCCTAAATTTTCGAAAATCTATAGGTACAATAATAATATTCTATGGTTACTACATTACAGCTGAGTACCATTACTATGTTTTCAAAATCAATGTTAAACATTAAATTTATTTTAAATTATAACACAATATTTTCCTGCTGGGAAAAGTTGTATTCGTAATAATATAATAACTACATGACTACATGATGTAAAGTTGTTTAAAACTGACATTTACCTAATGACAAATTCACAAACAAACTGTGGCTTCATCATTTAATTTTTCCTCATTAAGTCTATACTTTTGTTTTCAAATTCATGAAGCATTATGAACAAACACAAGCAAGCAAAATTAATTATTTTCTATGATAGTTAAAACAATGTCGCTATCCGTCGTCTATCTGTATGCTTGAATCTCTAAAATTATGCAACAAATTTTCATGGGGTCGTTTTGTAAGTATAGTAAGTCCGAGTTTGACGCGTACCAAGCTGCTAGCAGAAGCTAATTTTCATGGTAACATAAAGTTTGTTGTATTTAAGTAAAAAGTAATGTAAGATAGTGGTCACCGGTGACCACTCTCCACTAACTACATTATAGACCTTATTTCCGATGTTTAGAGAATGTATATGAACAAATTTAGGGGATGATTTTCAACAGGTGGTTTTTTTTTTCTGTAACTACTTACATTATTCAAATTTCAATACAGGGTGTGAACGGAACGCTCCCAAAACGCTGACAAAAAGAAATCGTTTTTACAATTTTATCGTAGTTTTCGCGTTGGTCGTGCAACGTCAGCCTAGAGCAGTCGAATGCAACTATTATTACATAAAATAAACATTTAATTCCTTACCTATATAATACCTTTATGAAAGTAAAACTTGTTTTTTACCATCACCTGTCGACGTTATTCGGGAGCGTTCCGTTTACTCTAAATGTCATTGGCATTATATATTTTTTCTACAAAAAGTATCTATGATCGCAGTTCTTTATGTGACTAACCGCCGCACTCAGAGACGTTTAATGATTACTTTAACTATTCCTTAGCCACTCTAACGTCCGGGCCGCGCGACCGTTTATCTCTCTAACGTCCAGCTGCGCGCGGCGTCCGAACCGCGCGCGACTCGCAAGTTCGTCGTATCAAAAAACCTATATAGCTACTGAACCGTAATGGCTAGAATAAAGAAAAAAATACCAAAAAAAAGATTGAAGAATACTGATCAATCTTAACGATTTTTTTAAATCGTAAGTTATAATCTTTGATACAAAAAACCGGGTTAAACATGTAATTCAGAAAAAAAATACACAATTATTTCTACCTTTTTAGAATATAAGGCACAACTATTGCATATTTTATCAATAAAATATTTTTACAACAAACTAGACTTATTACCCTTTCTTCTGATGTATATACGATTACATTCGGTTAACTCTAAGTACTTTAATTAAATCGAAACAAAACACTACTCCTCGTAATTTTACCGCGATGTCCCGAGCGCCCTTGACTCGTCCGAGAAGGCGAAATAATAGCAATATGGCCGCCCGTCTAAGGTTTCCCACACACGATGTAATTTTAATAAAATATTTTAAATAATTTTATGAATTCGTTTTATGCCATAATTGTATTTTTGAAGTTGTTTATTTGTTCTAGTTGGTTATTTAAATAAAAAGCAAATAAAAAAATCAATATATAATATAATAATTTATTCCTTCCACACATTTATATATGGTAAGCCATAAAACAATTTTCAATGCAGAGATTGACGTCGCTGTGAATAATTTAAAACATTAGTATTGTTAAAAGAATAAAATAAAATTTGGCGAAGCATTAAAATATACGCGACCATGCAACACGTGCAAGGGCAACAGTAAAAAAGAAAGGTAGTCAAATCCACAAGTGCATTTTTTTACATTTAGCGGAAATTAATCAACACGAACAAACATGTAATTAATGTTTCAAAACAAAAAAAACCATTAGAACATTATACATATCCAACGGAAACCAAGCGAAAAATAAATGATGAGTGAAATATTAGTACAAAACCCAAAAGTGCATTACATTACATAACATCACGCCTTTTATCCCCGAAGGGGTAGGCAGAGGTGCACATTATGCCACTGTACAATGTAACACCCACTTTTCACTATTTATGTTATGAGTCCCATGTAATAGGGAGTGAGCCTATTGCCATATACCGGGCATAATTCCAGACTCCGTGCTACTACTGAGATTTTTTTAAAAACCCAGTAATACTTTGCCCGACCCGGGAATCGAACCCGAGACCCCTTGCCCGGCAGTCGCACGTGCGACCACTCGGCCAACGAGGCAGGCCCAAAAGTGCATTTTATATTAAATATTAGTATCATCTCAAGCAAAATATTATACCACCACTAGCAAAACAAAAATAATGCAAACATATTTTGCCGTGTATAGCGAACCTTATTTATCACGTTTCATGTAACGTCCGTGGATACCAAACAGTCCACATCAAAAAACCTGAGGAACACATTGACATTATTATGGAATCTTCAGTGAATTTAGTATATTTCTCTTTGAAAAATGTATTATTTTGCTTATTACGAAATGTATTTCGATATTTTATATACTATTGTAATGCAAAGTATGTAAAATATGTATAAACAAAACTAAAAGTGGCCGACACCATACGACCGGCCATTTTTTTCGAAACAACAATCGTTTGAAGTTAAAAGTAGACTAGATTTATCAGCTAAAACTGTGATATTTATACATCATCGTAAAGCACAAATCTTCTAGTTTATTTTGATGTATAACACTTGCAAGATAAATAAAACAAAACTGTAGTACTTACGACATAATTGTTAGCACTCACAAAAACACTTCACAACACGCGCGTCAAACGAGTCAACTGAACTTAAAAAATTATATTTTGTTTGTCAAAGCTTATTACACTGCCATCTCTATTTTTTTCGTCGAACTATTTATTCAACTGTATAGATAATCTGTCAAAACTCACCAAGCAAGACCGTATTTTAAACTAGAGGGCATTAAACACAACTCGTCGCTTTGGATACTATAGTATCCATGGGCGTATGACGCTACTTTTTTCTTGGATACCGTACTATCCACGGACGTCAGAGTGGTTAGTAACGATTTTGTTCCGAAATCAATTGCTAAGGACTGGGTTAAGTAGCCATTAAATGACTCTCAGTGCGGCGGTAAGTTTTATTTTTTCAGTTTAACGTAATAAATCCACCTAACTATAGGTAGAATATACAATATTACGTCAACAAAAATAGCGCGATATTTGCATAATTACTGCATCATTATTTGTTTTGTTGCTCTAGTTCAAGGTCACCGATATACTATGTGTGTGAATTCTTTCATAAAAACATAGTAAACAATTAAACTATACAACCAAACATAAGACGTCATGTCAATATGAGTAAGTTCACATGTACCGACATAAATACATAACTTGTTATATAAATTAGAACTCTATTCCAATCACTTAAGGTACAAATTAGACTAACAATGTTGCCAGCAAGAATGTTTGTTGTTTTTAAATAATATTGTGCAAAGGGATTTATATTATATCTTTTGTTATTGACAAAAAGGAACCAGATAATACAATATATCGGTTAGATAAGCTGATATAGATAACAACTTATGAAAATTGTAAACAAACTATTTAAGTTTAACTTTTAACGGTTTTTTTAGTATCGAAACTTTCCGATATGTATATTACGTAAAAATAATATTAAACTGTCAAACACCAAGCGGTCACCGGTGACCGCGACCTATTGTTCTTTAATTGTGTCTATAAAACCGGTACTCGACGAGTTAATGTCATGTTAAAAAATGTAGTTTTTACGAAAGTGATATCTTTTTGTCTATGTGTATACTCTAATTTATTCTGTCCAAAGTATAATAGTAACTAACTTCATTCACTACGTCTCACGTCACTCTAAAGCACATAATACATAGACGTAATTTTTTTGAGATTCTTGAAAACTATTATGCGCGAAAAAGATGGGTGATGGAATCTTAAATAACTAGAAGAAGCAATTTTGAAAGTATAAAAATTTAACAGTATGGTAAGTAGTAGATGACGTGGTGTAGGAGCAGTTACTCCAATTGGACACTATGGTGTAAGCACAGGTGATAAAAGAAAATAAATATTTACTCCCTACTTCAGCTACTTAATTCACTTCAGCTACCAATATCTAAACAAACATCTATAACAAATAAGGCCAATAGACATCATATTCATACACAATGATACAGTTAACTTCACCATTTCCATTATCAGGGTCATTTAAAATAGAAGGTAAGAACAGATAAGATAACTGAATGCAACAATGTCTCCGAGTTATGAATGAACACATAATATCCACTATGTATTGTATGCTTGTATTTCTAACAATAAAA